CACTGTGGGACGTGGAGACCTGTCCTTCGGATGAGACCGTATAAACCGAGGTCCCGTGTCGCAGTAGGTGCCGACACGAAAAAGATCCCTCACTGCTCAATGGCCTTAAGTGCCGAGTATAGGTGAAAAAATTGTAACTCTCCACCGGCAAGTGGTGGCGTCTCCATATGAGTGAAAAATTCTCGAGAGGGACGTTAAACAATAAACAAACAAGCAAAAAAACATTGGGTCGTATTTTAAATGACATATTTCATACCAATTTTTAGGCCTTTGTCTTTGTACTAAATTTGACTACGGATTATTCTGTCTACCTGATCAATTCATAAGGCTCACGGCGAGTGTGACCGGCCGACAGGGGATGCTTACTCCTCCTAGGCACATGATCCCATCTCTGGAATTTGCAGGGGTCTTTGTTTGATGTCCTGTTTACAGATTTGTATTTTTTGTTGTTGTTTTTTAGGTTGATCACTGTTCGTTATCTTCACTTTTTCCATTGTGAAAACAGTCTACATAAGTGCACGATAAAATTAATGGCTCACAGCGAGAAATATTCGCGAGTTCTCAAAGGCCGTGAAAATCGCAGATATTTCTCGTAGGGGAATAAAGGTTGGTTAACAGTAATTATTGAGCACCACGAATGCTTAGATTAGTCTTTTTTGTATACGGTTGAATTAGCCAATTACAAACTCTTTTTGTGAAATCTTGAACTAATCATAGAGAAATTAAATATACTGATAATTTAATTACATGTACTTACTATTAATCAACAGATGTAAAACGACCATAAAGGTTATAGAGGTCATTTTTCCGATTCTGATTGTGAACATGGTATGGCTGATTAACATCCTATTACAAGAAACAGACTTCAGAAAACTTCTTCAGCGAGAGGAGAAGCCATGTTTCTAAATCCTTCTTTCGTTTCTGCTGACAGAAACTGAAATGTTCGGGGGAAAATTTAGACATTTATATAATACAAAACATAATAACTACATTACACGTAAAACGACAGCAAGATCAAGACACACACATAATAATATTCTTGTGTTAAAACAATGACAAGTTTAACTCTTAAAATAACAAATTTTAATACAATTTCCTTCCTGAATCAGTACACTCACAATGAGATTGTGTAGATACTTCTTCTCATTCACTTCTGTATTTTTCAAAACATATATTTTCAACACAGGCACTTGACGTCTTAAAACTTTCTCTTTATTGATTTCCCATACTATAATAATAACAAGTTAAGGGGGACCGACCCTCTGATAAGAGAGATAACTTTCCAAGTAAAATATCTTAGTATTTCTCATAGTTTACTTTATCAGAGTTTAATCATCAAGACCTTTGAGCAGTCAATTCGATCAAATGTAACATATGATGGAAACATTTCCTTATATTTCCTTTGACTGTACTTTTCAAATCGTTTTATTATGTTTGACAAAAAAAAAAAAAAAACAAACATTTAAATCCAGTTTTAAAACCCTTAAAAATTGAATAAGTTCTATCTTTTTAACGATCATTTTAAAAATGGTTTAATGTATCAAGCACCAAATGTAGAATTTTTATTAGTATTGCATTTTTTTTTTCCAATGAAAAAATTTTATAAGAAAGATAACTCTTGCTAACAGATGCATTCGTTTCTTTCAACCACATATAACATTGTGATATTCTGACTTAGGAAATAGCGCTTCATTATGATTTCTAATATGAATTTAGTAGGTATGACACTAAATATTATTTTCATATACACTGCATATTTCTAATTTTATGTTGTGATAATAAATTATTACTCTTCCTAGTCTCTGTGTTAAAATTTATTCATATTATGATCTGACATAAAAATCATTTCTGAAAAAATAAGCAGCGCTTCATACCTTATACTTTTTTTCATTTGATTTTGATGCTATAGCTCTTGATGAAAATCAATGTTGGGAAGTTTAAAAAATTTTCGTGGAATTTGGAGCAGAGGGTCATTAGTCCTTAAATAAATTATACTTTCATGTAAATTAGTTGAATCTGATTCGTCGAGAAACATTTGTTAAAAATTACTATTATCCGATGAATGATGAAGCTACGACCTCCGGCGTAGCAACAGTCAACATTGCTTGACGACGGGTGATATTCCAAAAAATAGTGACTGCGCAGAATTTATTCGTTCAAGGTTCACTGTTATATGTATTTGTATAAAACATTCAGTATAATATAATAAATATTGCATGTAGTTGAGTGTAAGATTGAAAATTTTCACCCCAAGAAAACCACTGTCAACCGAGGCGCAATCTTACACTCAACTACATGCAATAATATCGACGACGTATTATCAATTAACAATTGTTACTAGAGTATTTCCATTCGAATGTGGACACGATATATCCCAGTGAGCTTGAAATAAAAGACACCACAGAGTCAGACACATCTGTTTCATGTTTGGATATATTACTAGAAAAACACGTTAATGGTAATCTAACAACAAAGCTTTATGATAAACGTGGTGACTTTATCTTTTCAATCGTCAACTCCCCTTACTTATGCAGCAGTATGCCCTTATCACCTGCATATGGGGAGTATATCTCTCAGTTGATTCGCAAGAGCATGCTCTACGTATGAACAATTTCTAAAACGAGGTAAGTTATTAACAAACAAGTTAACAAAACAAGAATATCAACAGTCTCGTTTAAAGTCAGCGTTTCGTAAGTTAATTCTATGGTCGATACAATGACCTTGTCAGCAAATACAATCTATCATTAAGTCATATGCTGACTGAAGTTTTTCATACTAATTGTTAGGCCATTATTTACACACGGATTTTTCCGTTATTTTCCGATCAGTTCAAAGGAGCACACGGCAGGTGTGACCGGTCGACAGGATAAGCTCACTCCTCAATGGCACCTAATCCCACCTCTGATGTTTTTGGTGGTCCATGTTTGCTCTGCTCCCGTTTGCATTGTTTTAAATTTAGGGATGTCAACGAATATTCGAACATTCGAATAGTCATTCGATGAGTTAATATTCGAATATGAATTTAAGATACGAATATTCGATGTTTTTCAGATTTCACAAAAAAGAGATAATAAATTTTAATTAGAACAATGCAGGAATCATCCCCGTTTTATTTACTAGCGATCCTCTTATTTCTGTCACTACCTTTTTTATTATAGATTTTCTAAATTATTTCATTTTGAGTACGGTATAAAAGAAATAAACAAATATTATTAATGTATAATACAAAAAGTTCTTTCTGTAGTTTTATATAATCGGATCTAGAATCGAGGACATTGAAATGAAACCCATCTTGAATGTCTAAGAGACACGTGAAGAGTGTACTTATAAAAATTAATTTTATTGATCATTGAATTACATCTTTGATAGAATCAGCCTGTAATATTGTAAAGTGCTCAATTTCAGAATAATGCATCAATTACTTGATTATCTGGGGTTGTTTACATTCATCAATTTTAAAATCATTATCGGGAAAATAATGACCTAGGAAAATTGTCTATGGAAGTGTTTGTTTATGTTTTCAAAACATTGTATCAAAGATTATATTATATCTCTTATTAAGCAGATAATTGTAATTTATTCCGTGTTTTTAAATCTGAAGAGTAAAGATCAATCTTGCCCCTGGTTAGAAGACTGGTTTGTCAGTTTGAAATTACACATACAAAGGCGTCGGAAGCAAATTGAAAGGGGGAGGGGCTAACTAACAATAAAAAAAAACGTTTGGAGGTCTAAGCCCCAGTTTCCAATACCTATATTATGTCTATCTTTGCAAAACAAAGTGGTGGGGAGGGGCGCTAAGGCCCCCCCCCCGGTTCCGACGCCTATAATAGATATCATTTGTTAGAATTATATTTCGGTTGTATACACTTATATGAATTATTTATTTTAAACACTGACAAATATCAAATGTAGAATTCCTTATTGTATACATGTACTACAAAAGTCTACATTCAGTTTTACTTCCAAATAACGACGCAAAAACCTGCCATTAGAGTTTGATGATGTACGTTTAAAATAATCCAGATTTTATTTATTTTATCGAATATTCGAATATCTTCATTGAATATTCGAATATGAATTATTGACAAAATCGACATCCCTAGTTTTAATGGATATCGAGCTTGAATACTGTTCGTTATCTCCATATTTCATGTTACACATTAATTGCTGACATTATGGACTTTGTAAATACATGTACCAAAGATACCGACCTCGTGACCCTTGAATTTGACCTTTGACCTACTTTTCAAATTAGTCCATATATATAGTGCCGATATACATATTTTTGATGTGCTATTTATCATGTGCATTGTTTGCCACAAAATATAATTAAAACAATAACAGAGTTACAGTCCACTTGACCTTGATCTTTGACCTACTTTGCAAAAAATATTCTGAACGTCTAATTTTAACTTACATGTATTTAAACTTCGTTATTCATTTCAGCTTTGAAGGTTGGAGAATCATATTTCTATTTGTCAGAATCTATAGCAGACTTACTATCCGTGGATTTTTTTTTTGCTGCAGGCAAATGCATGCCCTTTCATTGCTCATTTCAGCATCAAGGGCACAGGCACTTGTTTCGTATACGGGGCACCCCTACTTATTTTAAGTAGGGGTGCCCCGTATACGAAACAAGTGCCTGTGATCAAGGGTTTGGAAATCATATTTTTAGTTGCATACGCATGTTGCCCTCAAATCTAGTCAATAAATGTATATCGTCTCTCCTTTAAAGACTTCTTTTCATATAGACTTTTTTGAGTAAATTCTGCTTCATAAGAATACAAAAACAGATCCGCTAATAAAGGGACACAATTATTACCTATGAGAATTCCAACAAATTGTTGGAAAATTTAGTCTCTAAAGACTACGTTATTATTGTCCGTTAGGAGCTCCAGCATCCTTTTAATATCAACTTCAAAGTACTTGTGTGTGCAAACAGAATTATTTTTATCAAAGTAATTTTTAGATGACCAATCACAAGATAAGAAAATTTCCCCATTCCATTTTTATTGAAGAAACAAATGTCTATGTCATAGATCTTTACTCAAAATTCAAGGCACTTAGAGCCTCTTTCATTACCAACATAATTTCATGTTATCATAAATTGAAGTGATTTTTAATGTTCTTTTTTCTAACTGTAAAAGATGACAAACACTTGTCTGAACAATCTCATAAACCCTATAAACAATTAATACAAATCATGAGCAGGCCAAAAACCCGGTTTCATGGAAACGCCAGAGATGGGCTCAGATGTCTAAGAGGAGTAAGCATCCCTGGTCACACCCCAGTGAGCACTCTTGATCGAGTGAAAGTAGTTATTTAGTATTAGAAGGGAATGAAACATATCAGTTAAAATTAGACCCAGCAATAGATTTTATTTACAAACAAGGTCATAATAACATTCATAACATTTGCATAATTCTGTATTTAAACGAGACTATTGAAAGCCTTGTATCATGAACTTCTTTGTAGATAGCCTGTCTTGGATTAAAATTTGATTGTACATACTGATGTAAGCTATCAACTGCATCAACATTTTTTTTTTCCTTGACCTTTCCTTTGACCTTGACCTCACTTTTCTTAAGTTACTGTTTAGCTCAGTTTCAAAGAAACCATTCAAGATATTTTTATCAAACTTCATATACATAGTGATGAGAGCTATCAACTACATCAACATTTTTTACCTTGACCTTTCCTTTGACTTTGACCTCACTTTTCTTAAATTAGTGTTTGGCTCAGTTTTAAGAAACCATTCACAATATATTTTTTTTTATCAAACTTAATATGCTGATATGTTTTAGTGAGAGCTATTCAACTGTATCAAAAACTTTTGACCTTGCACTTTCTTGTGACCTTGACCTCACTTTTCTTTAGTTTGCATTTTGCTTAGTTTTAAAGAAACCATTTAACATATTTTTATGTAAGCTTATGCACTTATACAAAATTTGGTGAAAATTTATCATCTATTTCCATTTTTTTAAAATTTCAATTCAATTTTACATAAACTATTCAAGATATTCTCATCAAACTTCATACACTAATACAAATAATACAAATTTTCCTGTTGCATTACTATTATACACCCGGTGGAAATTCATGTCCTATGGACATATTTATAAAATTTTGGTAGGATTTTTTTACATAAACTTTGCACGCATTACACAAAAACATAACATCCAATGATTCCAATCACATCCCACTTCTGTCCACTAATAATTTACCATCTTCAGTCTATAGTTTGTGTTCACCTTCAAGTGTTTATAATATCTATTATCTTATGTTAGAATCCACAACATCTCTGTATCATTTTCTAAGAAACAATTGTGCTTCTTATTTAGTAGCTTAATAATTCTTAGTATGCTTTATATATAGGAACAGGCACCGATTTTGAAAAAGTAGTTCATATCTTATCTGTTCCTGTGTTATACAATGACTTCCCCTCCTGCACCTTATTCACATAGAAATATTAAGGTCAGATGTATCATTGTGATTTCTAGAGCTCTGTCACTTCATTTCCTTTGGTGTGAAGGCTTTGATCTGTTTGAACTTTAAGTACTCAGTCGTTCCTGGACCTGCTTGGCAGCCTCAATCTGTGATCTGTCACAATAGTCCTGTAATTGTACAGATAACGGAGTTCTTATATCAAACATCATCTATGTGTTGTTATAAAGAAGTTAATCTTCAATGGAATCAGAGAACCTCCAGACTATTTAGCTTACTCTGAAAGAGTATCATAGATTTATGTGTAAATCCAGACTATTTAGCTTACTCTGAATGAGTGTCATAGATGTGCACTGTATGTGTAAATCCAGACTATTTAGCTTACTCTGCACAATTTTTATTAACATGAATGTCAGAAATGTATATGTAAATCCATAACTTATCTGTTTTGGATTCTTTTTGGGGTTTTTTTTTGGTTATATAGTTTACCTAATCAAATCTGTTTCACTTACGGTTAAATCTTTATTTTTGCTTACCTCCAGAAAAACCTTTGCAAGGTTACTCAGCCTTGGGTTTGTGGATTCTGAAAACCTCAACATGCATTCTACAATAGGTAGGGCTGTTATTTCTGTAAAAAACAGAAAACAATACAAGGAACAACAAAGTCTTATATTGTTAACACAGGCTTTCTCAACAACAAATGCATAAGTTTAAAATTATGACACAGTTTTAACTAACTGATACCTTTTAAACATCTTGTGAATTTATTTTAAATTTTTATTCAAATTTAATCAGCTGGCATCTTTAAGATTATACTAAGAGAAATAGGATGTCTTTTATTTCTAGATCTATTCCATTTTTGTTTTCATTTTAATCACAAGGCATCCTTTGGATTAGATTTTGGAGGTTTCTCCTGGGTTCAGTAGAACTCACCTGCCCTTGATACAGGGGTCACTAGAAACATCAGCGTGGTGATGGCGGACAGGACTGTCTCCTCATTGGGGCTAGACAAGAAACAAAAGCAGTCAAGTTAAAAAACATGTACTAGCTCTGTCTTTTTCATTCATAAAAATTAGATGTAAATTCAATGGTTTTTGATGCTACAAGTGATGTACATGTATGTTATGCAATGAGTTGTCAAGTTAAATTTAGTTGGAGGTAAATCTTCTAGTTGTCTCATTCACAAAATTTGAACTACACTACAAATAGAATTATAAACAAAAGTTTCTAGATCACTTATTCATTAAATGATTCAAGGGTAAAGTAGGAGTATTACTCTAACTGCGTATTACTCTATAGGTAAGAACAAAGGCTTACCTAGATAGACATTTCATAACAAGTTTAACTCCACTGTTTTTCAAGATTTCTTCTTTGTTAATTTTATCTGTAATCATAGATAATGAAGACTTCTTTATGATATTGATTTAAAAATAAATACATTACAACAAGTAATAAAAGAAATTCAAGAGCAGATAACTATGCCAAGTCTTCTTTTCTGGCAGCAATTTAAATAGTTCATTCACCTCTTATATAAATAAGTTCTACCTATAAACATATTTATGCTGATGTTAATGGGGTTCATTACTTAAGAGTCATTGGAAGGCTAATTAATGACTACCTCCAGAATATTTCATGCCTAAAGGCCTTAATAGTCACCCGACTAAATATGTAATAATTTCCTTCTAATACACTCTCCAACCATTACCCATCCTGATGATATATAGTCCATGGTCTTTGTAGACATGAAATTACATGTTGTTCATATTACTATTAGGGACTATAAGCAAGTTTAAAATCCAATCCCCCTCTTTTTTTATACCAACATTTTCTACTTTCTCCAGTGACCATGACCTCAGTAAATAAGCAGTCTGCATGTGTATAATACTGTCTACCATAAATGATTAACTAATCCTGAGCAAAAAGTTTACTTTTTTATGCATGTAACCTTGAACTAGACCAAATGACCTTGTCTCAGATCATAATTAACACAATAAGATCATACACAACATTTGCAAGAGCTTCTAATGTGTCTTTACTGTTGTGTCATGGTTTAGACAGAATCTTAACACTTTTTCTATCTAGTAAGAGATCTTATGTTACATATGTAAGGTCATGAAACAATCTCATGTATTAGACAATCATTCAGTTTAAATAAGATAATCTCTGTGGCTTAAGGGAGCTGACTGGGGTTTTATTGTGTGAAAACTACTATAGAGAAACTCTTTAATTTTATACCATATGTACCTTACATTGACTTCGGTATACATGCCAAGTTTAGTGAAAATCTACCATCTGGTTATTTTTTAGGGACCATCTCAAAATACAGGTACATTTACTATAGGATTATATAGGAAAATACCATTTTTTCGCACTTCGAAGCAAATTATACAAATGCTACTATAGACTTTTTGCTCAGATTATACTATTTGATGGGTAATACTATATTATACATTTTGTGCATGAAATAGAAAATTCTACTGTCTGGTTTCCAGAGGGAGCATCTGAAAATGTCAAAATTCATGATATTTTCCTGTTTTTATGGAGTACAACAAAACATGACAGATACCACAGATTTACACAAAAAATAATAAAAATGATTGCTAGATTCTCAATTTCCTATGTTTAAAATTTCAAGAGCATGTATTTTATACTTTTTATTTTATGGCATAATTAATGACCCCGCTTAAAGAACTTCGGTTATTCATAACGTCAAAAACACACTATTACGACATCTGTATACCCATTATTTGAAAAATCATTCAAAAAATCAGTTATTTAAAAACGTAATTAGATTTTTTAACCTTAGATTTCCTAAATTTATTAATTTTTATAAATTATGTAAAAAAAAGTTGCTTTAAAAGAGTAAATACGCTTTGTTTTACTATGCTGCGCGAAGTATTGCGCAATGAAAACCCCAGTCGGCCCCCTTAAGTAACCTGTACATTCACAAAAAAGTTCTCGCTACTGACCTTATAGTATTTAAAGGTTACCATGAGCCAAGTTAATTTGAAGTTGTAAAATAAGAAGCAATCTTTGGGCAAAAAATTGTCAACTATTTGCCCATTCAAGTAAAATTACCATATATTATCCAAATAATTTCTACTTCTTGTGCAGCTCCAGAGAAATGTTCAAAGATTATGGAAGATGCATAACAGAAGATAACTGACATAAAACACATATTAGATACCTGTATGATGCCTTAATGAGTCAGGTGCCCTCCCTTATACCTGGTTTTCATACTCCTATCTGTATATTATTCCTGTATATTAGCTGTATGAATCAGATGCCCTCTATTAAAACTGGTTTGAATACTCATGTAGATAACTGTTTGTTAACTGAATGAATCATGTGCCCTCTTTCACAACTGGTTTGAATACTCAAGTAGATATCACAGGTGCTTGTGGACAGGAACCCTATGCAGAATTAATGTTTTATTTAAAAAATCATACCCATGGTTTTATAATACTGGGGGTATGATTTTTTAATTCTACATATTTTTTTTTATTTTTTCATATGGAATACATTGTAAATGTGTACTAGAAGATTATTTATGGAAAAAGAAGAATAAAATATCCTTGAACCCAGGGTTTGTCCACAAGCACCTGTGGGTGCTCTCACTCCTTTTTACCTAAACATAGATTACAAAGTCCTCCAATACCAAATTGCACTAACTTATCATCATCTTCATCCAGGCAATCTAAAGCATTAAAACAAACAAAAAAGCAATTAATCAACACTACAAAACCATAAACATCAGTAGTCCCTTGGATTTACAATCATTAGTTTATGCTGCAATAGATTTAGGAAATTTTTCTTTGAAAATAAAATTCAACAATTAAAGTAACATTGTTGTTCAATTTAATATCATATAAATTATATAAATAAGCTGTCTTAATTCTTTCTTCCCCTATAACTCAAAAGGAGAAAATATATGGCTGCTTGGACCGGGGGACCCTGAAATTTACTAGTCTGGTGTTCTAACCATTGAGGTACCACAAGCTAATATCCACAGTTCACACAGCTCAAACCATTACATTCTACCCTCCTTAGATTGTCTTTGCCCTTTAAGACACACAACTCAGATTCTTTAGTCCCTGACAGATCTTTCACCTGCACGTCCAGAGGTAGGGTCAACAGCATCAATTAATGTAACAGGTAATGTCTGGACTAAGAATTGAACCTGGAACCCCCTGCATTACTAGTCATATGGTCTAACTACTGAGCTATATAGCTACAGTCCATACAACTTAAGCCACCACACCTAAAATAATTTTTCAAAATCCCAAAAAATTTCAGGTAGATGAATATGACCAAAAAAACAAAAGAAAATCCCAGGTTTTTTGATACCTGAATCACAGTCTATCCTAGATTTCCTATTAATACATTATAACCACTGTGACATGTTTAAATACTTACAACTAATTATAAATAGTATATGAAATTCATTGAAAATCTACAACAATCACACTCCCTGTAACACACTCGAAACCACGTCATGGTGCAGAAGAATACACAATACAAATGAAGTAGAATTTATTGATAAATACACTAGAAACACCAAATTGTATATTGTTTTGGCTTGTAATTAAATTCAATTACGCTATAAGATTGTCATAAAAAATTAATACAACAATTACACATTTAAAATTAATTTGTCATTTTTTCCCTCTCATTATTCATTTATGCAATCTAATTAAAATTAGATGTTCATTTACGTTATTTAACTTTCCACAACAAATTTGCATATTCATGTACTGTTATCCAAAAATATTAGAATTCAGTGCTTAAATGTTACACATGCAGAGAGAGATAGAAAGATATGAGAGAGAGGTTACCAAGGAAAAGGTCGATAACATTCAAAGTTCTCATGTACTCATAATTCACTGGGTCGTAAGCAAAATTTCCCAAATTTGCTAAAACTTCTTGCTTGCTCTCTGAAATGAAGGAGAACGGACAGTCTGACAAACTAGTATCGATATTGAAAAAACACTAACAGTAGATTATTTTCAATCGGGTTCAGCATTTGTATAATTACAAACCCAGACTGTCTGTATCCTGAAATTCAGTTACAAGAGCTTGTAAATAGCTAAACCGCCCAATCCCGTGTGGTCCAGTTCTCTTTGAAAGTTGTTCCTTTGTGCTAAACATTATTCTGTTATTTAGACTACGAGCCTACGAGGTAACTACATTTTTATCATTGCGACCTTCAACTTGTATATCAACTTCCGGAGAAAACAAATATTGGTCAAATTTGGTCACGTGCCAGTGTTGTTGATTTACAGGTCACATGTAGGTTAGAAAACAACTTTCTAAATGTTGTAAGGAAATCCAAAAACATGTTATGATGCAGAAGTGTTTAGCTCCAAAGAATTAATATCTTTTCGTTAAAACTGAGTTTCTTTTGACTATAATCGTTGCATTTTGGAGATTTTTGCAGTGCTCGGCATTCTGAGGTCTGAAAGATGGCGGAGAAATCGTCGTCCTCTCAAAATGCTGGAGTCAAAATCGGTCATTACATCTTAGGGGACACCTTAGGAATTGGAACATTTGGGAAGGTTAAAAGTAAGTAATTTAGATTACCTATATCAATTTTTGTCTTAAGTAAGATTGTACAATGAGATACTGTAGGTCAAGTACTTGAAGTTCATTACCCTTTTAAATCCTTGTCAGCTTCAAATGGGCCAAATTGATCAAATGGAATCAATGTACATCTATTGTACAAAAGGAAAGTCATGTAAGGTGAATATCCTCAATATAAAGATGCGACAAATAATCAATACATGAATTGTAGTAGACAGGTCCAGCACAATCACTTGATTAAGCTATATAGCTTGAATAGCTATATAACTTTATTAAGCTATTCAAAATAGCAAAAATGTTATTTGTACAAAATAGACAAAAAGTCGCAAGTATTTGACTATTCATATATATGTAATATGGGTTATCAAATCAACAACCCAAATCAAAGATAGTTCTAATATTGCAGCATTTGAATACTTTTAAGGACATACGCAACGTACCTTACCTACTGATAATTTTTCGAGATATTCTTAATTTAAGATAACAGTACCATCAGATGTTCGTAGACAAAAAATTAGCATGTGTTACCAGGGGTTTTGAAAAGATATCAATTGATGAAAATTCTTGTATAATTCAAAGAAAAATATACAAAAATTACTAAACATATATTCTAAATGTTTTGTTTATCCAAACTTGTTTTAGAAGAAGTGAACAATAGCATATATTGACAATAAAATGTAGGACACAGTTCCTTTAAGTATTGGAACTCTTTAACTCCAGGGAAAAATACAATAAAGTTCAAACTACGTTGCGTATGTCCTTAAGCAAAAGATGAATTTCCATTGTTTGGGTAACTGTACACTACCTTGTGTGCATTGAGGCATGGATAAGTATGATTGCTTCTCATTGTACTGAATTATTACCAATCAATTATCTTATTGACCATAATTGGCCTCCTTTATAATTTCATTGAAGAAGTAACTGTATCAATTGCTTTATATAGCCCCAAAACTTTTAGAACTTTGAGTACAAAGTCTCTTAAGGAGACGCAATTTGATGAGTGACTTTTACATGCATTATTTTCATAAGAGTTCAAGGTTGAATATTATCACTGCACCAAGGTGCGACTTTTTGTGCATACTTGGAAAATAACACATTTGAGAAAAAAGTGTGATATAATAGCTAAATCAAGCTATTCTGAATAGCTTAATAAAGCTATATAGCTAAATCAAGCTATATAGCTTAATCAAGAGATTGTGCCGGACCTGGTAGAATTATAAGAGTAAATAGAGAAAGATGAGTGTATATTAATTGAGTGTTAATATTTATTTAGTAATTTACAGAGAAAAATATGTCTGTTTAGTTTTCTTTTACATTTTGTAAAGTTTGATAAATAATAAAACAAAATTCATTATTTCCTATTTTAATATATTGCTCAAGCTGGTTGTATGTTCGTTCGCCCTAAAATTTGTTTGCACTTGATGGCGATCGCCCTAATTCTCGTTTGCCCAGAGTCCGATCGCCCTAAAACTTGTTGGCACAGGGTCCGTCCACCTTATTTATATTGCACAGAGTTGAATAATGAACCAATAAATTTTTTTAAAATAAATTATATGTACATTGGTACATAAATTGCACACGGGAGACAACAGATGTATGCATGTGGTCACACTATAAATACCTGTCCTATCAAAGACCCGGCAGACCAACATAAATTAACATCTCAGTCCTTTGTTTTCGAAACATAACGCAGATTGTAAAAAAAAAACACACAGATATGATCCCCTAAATTACACTGACATTATTAAGTATAATTTAACCAATTAAGCATTTAAAAAGTATTAATATCAAATTTGAATTATTTAATTAAGATTACGGTAAGTAAAAAAAAAACTGTAGCAACATTTGAAAACAAAAACACTAAGTCGTAAAATATTGAATGAAAATTAATAATAGATGTTAACATTTACTATATATACTGTATATATATTAGGGCCAAAGAGATATATGGCGAACAAGATATATAGCAAACGAGATATAGGGTGAACAAGAATAATGGCGAACGGACCCTGCACGAACGAACTCTTGCGAACAGGTAGATAGGCGAACGAACCTGATACCGGTCAAACTATGCATTTTGAATGTATTGATATATATTTAGGAATTTTATTTTCATAGTTGCAACTCATCAGCTGACAAATCACAAAGTAGCTGTGAAGATTTTGAACAGACAAAAGATAAAAAGTTTGGATGTTGTTGGAAAAATAAAAAGAGAGATCCAGAATCTCAAGCTTTTCCGTCACCCTCACATAATCAAACTGTAAGTATAAATTTCATTGATCCTCAGAAAGTAAATTCCAAACTGTAGAAAATTTTGCATAATCAAAATTCGAGTTTTTCTTACTAACCATCAAACTGCATGTCTGTTGTAATCAAAGTTTAAATAGGTATAAATGATAAAAGTTATTATCTCATTATTAGTATAAATCTCAAAAGAAATTCATACTAAAGTTTCAAAAAATTTCAACAAACTGATTGTAAATTTGTAGTGCTGGGTATCACAGCTGAAAAATTAAATATTGTGATATTTTACAATATTAAATTTTATATTGCAATATTTCACAATATTGAATTCATATTCACTTTCTCTTCTATTTTTCAAATATTAAAAAACAAATGCAAATATCATTTGTTCTTGCGTTGATATCAATATTGCCTAGCCAAATGGTGATGGTGCATGTGGCTACCCAAGTTTGTTGTGCCACAAGAATATTTAATGGACTCGTTGCAATGGTCACATACAGTTTTAACTTGAAGTGGTTTCATGTAAATTTACATACTGTATATGAAAAATAAAATAAGACAATACAATGAACCAGTAACTGATAACTTTGGTAAACTTATAAACATTTTCTATGTTTTGATTTGTGCAGATCATTTAATTTTTGAAAATTGAGTAAATTACAAGTTACAAAAGATAACTTGAATCTGACCAATTGCATTGATTTGTGTGTAAGCTTACCATGATTTGTAATTGTTATGATATCTGATTTTTCTATTTATAAATCTGATATGTTTGTTTTGGCAGGTATCAAGTGATAAGCACACCCACAGACATTTTCATGGTGATGGAATACGTGTCGGGAGGCGAACTGTTTGATTACATTGTCAAACATGGCAAAGTATGAGACCTCAATTACTCCAGCATTAGGGGGATGGTGGATTTCATTTTGTTTTCTTTTATTAATCAGTATAGGTTTTCTCAGTCTTAAGTGTAAGAATGTATGTAACATTTAGAATACCCAGTAGTTAAACTTGTTTTTCATACAGATAAAGTTGGGAAGCTTTTAGTATATCTAGTATTAACTCATTGAAAAGACAGAGTCCATGTTAAATTTGATGTTCTGTTGCAGTTGAAGGAGCCTGAGGCCAGGCGATTCTTCCAGCAGATTATATCAGGGGTGGACTACTGCCATCGACACATGGTTGTACATCGAGATCTCAAACCAGAAAATCTCCTACTGGACAGTAACCTCAATGTTAAAATTGCTGACTTTGGTATGTCCATTGTCTGTTTTTGGAAAAAAAAGCTTGTTAAAAATATTATTATTAATTTTACCTGAATATGAAGACAAAAAAATTATACATGATACATTATATTCATCATTTGTTGTATTGCATTTTATGTTCATGGTTGTATACCAAACTTATTATGGTTTGTAGGACTTTCAAACATGATGCATGATGGTGAATTTTTACGTACAAGTTGTGGTTCCCCAAACTATGCTGCCCCAGAAGTCATCTCTGGAAAGTGAGTAAACCATGTAAACATTTCAGACATAACATAGACCAAGTATTGATCAGTTGTGTGGCCCTGCCTGGATGTTTATGATGTTTCTCAGTAAATAAGTTGATGTTTGTGCTTTATTTTAGACTGTATGCTGGACCAGAGGTAGATATCTGGAGTTGTGGTGTTATACTGTATGCCCTGCTGTGTGGAACAGTAAGTTTAGTATTTGTTAAATAAAGTACTTGATACATGCACTTGTAGTTCACAGTATCAATTCTTAAATTTAAAAGCATATGTACAGTGCATAAGTTAAGTTACAATTAAATTAAAATGGATTAAGTTAACATTAAATTTATATATCATGTATGTTGTATATATGTGCATGTATATTTTCAGCTCCCATTTGATGATGAACATGTGCCAACTTTATTCAGGAAGATTAAATGTAAGTATTTTGTACCATTCCAGCAATGGTCAAAAAACAAAACTAACAAAAACTTCAGACTGATGCAATGCTAGGAACTGAATTGTTTGCAAGCTGTCAATTACACATTTCTCACACACAAAAGATAAGATTGTCATTTTGTTCTAAATATATTGAAAGGTAATTTCATAAGCAAGACAAGTAGACTAATTGTTCTCGAACAATTAGAGGTCTTTCCACCTTCTTTAAATTTCCTATATTCTTCACATGTAACTCTCTACTGTTTATTTTATACAAAAGAAACCAGAAATGGCTTGAGAGATGGAAAAAATGAAAATTTTAAAAATTTTTGAAATGACCTTGACCTTTGACCTTGAAAAAATATTCAAGGTCAAAGGTCAAGGGTCACATTGCAATTAACCCCATGCTTCTACGACTTTTAGTTTTAAAGTTATAAGGCTTACTAGTAAGCGCAAAGACGTTAAAGGGCGATAACTCATATAAGGGGTCACCTGATACTTTCGCACTGAATAGATTGAAGTTGTGTCTAAAGACCCTGAATACATTAGTGAAGGTTTTGTGTCTCTGGGGTTTATGGTATCAGAGGAGTAGCGATAACAAGGTTTTTCACACAAGGAGCAATAACTTTTAAAAGGGTCAAACTTAGGGGAGAAGAATGAAATATTGTAAATAGTTTTAAGAGTACATATTAATTATGTAACAATAGATAATAAATCTTTAAGGACAAAAGAGCTATAGAAGGAAATATATTTTTCATAAATGGAATGACCTTGACCTTTGACCTTCATATAAATTTCAAGGTCAAAGGTCAAAAAATCTAATGCAGTTGCTACCATGTCTCTACGACTTATCGTTTTGAAATTTTTTGATTATTTGTAAACTTCAAAAACTTTCAGGGGCAATAACCCATTGAAGGGTTCAACGAATAGTTTCGCAATGAAAAGATTGAAGAGTCCTCTCAATTAATCGAAGACATTGGTGAAGGTTCCGTACCTCTACGGTTTAAGGTTTCAAAGGAGTAGCGATAACAAGCTTTACGGTGAAAGGGGTAATAACTGCGTAAAGGGTCAAAGTTCAAACATGGGGGGTCGTTTTTCGGAATAACTTTTAATATCCAGTATTATGAATTATAAAGTTTTTCGATAAGTCTTGCGGTTTCAAAGCATAAGGTGAGAAATAAAATAATAAAAAACATAAGCATTTCAAGAGGTCTTTCCACAGAAAGGTGGAAAGACCTAATAAACATAAGCATTTCAAGAGGTCTTTCCACAGAAAGGTGGAAAGACCTAATAAAGCACTAGGAGACTAATTGTTCAGAGAACAATTAGAGGCCTTTCCACCTTTTTAAGTGTTTCCGTGTCATTTGGGTTGAAAAAAAGAAGAAAAATGCAAAAAAAAAAAAAAAATTGCTCTTCCAGCAGGGATCGAACCCGGCACCCTTGGTTTGAAAGGCAGGTGCGCTAACCACTGCGCTACGCATTCCGATAAGATTGGTATGTTAATTGTTGAAGACTATAGAGGAAATGCAAGCGTATTTTTAGAATCGGTAGGGGAAGAAAGAAGTTCCGTAAAAGGAAATAGTTCCTGAACTTGCAAGCAGTATGTAAAATAACAAGGGACGGGTTGCGTGAGAAAACGTTAACACTGTTCTCTAACGAAAATGTATTAATGGACTGTAAGCCCGATTCATCGATATTGTGAGCATGCTGAATTTTTTGTAAATAGCTTCGTTGTAAGCTTAAAAGATCGGGTTTGGATTTTAACATTTCTGACTGAATATCCTGAAATAAATATGAAACATTTAAATAAGCATTTCTTTGGGTTTAATTAAATATGTGTAGCCCAAATTAAATTCCCAACATGCATTTTTATAAGGGAAACACGACAATGAAAGCGAGAATTGTTTTTAATATACCGAAAATCGCTATTTCTGGAAACTGATTAATTCTAAATAAAAATCAAATAAATTCCAAATGTAAAAGAAAGAGAGAATGCTTGGTATTAAAATGTCGAAACATATCAGGAGAATTAAATGCTACTAACGACATCTGAAGAAATAGCCGATAAAAGGATTCGATCATTTCTTCGTTCACCTGCACTTAAATTTCAAACACAACAGAACTTGTAGTTTTTGCCGTGAAACTTCATGACTTCTATAAACTTATAAGACTCACCGTAAAACTCTCCAGAAAGTTTCTCTGAGGTCTATACTACATTTGTACCAAATTTGGTGTCGATCCGAGGTCTGGTTTGAATTCTAGAGTAATATTCTACATTGTTGTTGATGTGATTTTTTTTTTTTTTTTTTTTAAGACGGGGGGGGGGGGGGGGGGATGAATTATTTATTTTATGCCTCTTTTAAACTACGAATTGTAACTACTTCCACATCCTTAAGCCTTATTGTGACCTTTGAGTCAAGGTCAAAGGTCAAGGTCATTCAAAAAAAGAAAAAAGAAAAAAAAGAAAAACAAATCTTTACTTTCTAAGTTTTTACCTGATACTGGATCTGAATGTATGTCCTTACTTTTCTATTTGACCCAAAGTCAAGGTCAAAGGTCAAGGTCAAAGTTCAAGGTCATTTGGCGAATTGCTATATTTTATATAAAGAATTTCTTATGTTTTTAAATGACCTTGACCTTTGACCTTGACCTATATTTCAAGGTCAAAGGTCAAATATGCCGATGCAGTTGGTCCCATGTCTCTAGGATACACGGTTTTAAAAAAAAGTTCATTAAATGTAAGTAGCGTAAACTTTCAGGGGCAGTAACTCATACAAGGGACCAAAGAATGCTTTGGCAATGATAGAATGAAGAGAGTACTAAATGAGTCGAGGACACTGATGAAGGTTTGGAATCTCTACGGTTTACGGTTTCGGAGGAGTAGCGATAACAAGGTTTTATTGCGAAAGGGGTGACAACTTTTGAATGGGTCAAGCTTGGGGGACAAAAATGAAATCCTTGAAATAGTTTTAGAAGGACATATTATAGATGCAAAGATATGTAGTATATGTCGAAAGACAAAAGAGTTATTTAAAAAGCTAATTTTCTCATATTTTGAATGACCTTGATCTTGGACCTCTATATAAATTTCAAGGTCAAATGTCAAAGAATTTAATGCAGTTGGTCCCATGTCTTTACGACTTGTCGTTTTGAAAAATATTTCATTATTCGTAATCATCGAAAACTCTCAGGGGTGATAACTTAATAAAGGGCTGGACAAATCATTTCGCAATGAAAGATTGAAAAGTCCTCTCAAGTAGTCGAAAACATTGGTGAAGGTTCTGTATCTCTACGGTTTATGGTTTCGAAGGAGTAGCGATAACGGGCTATTCTTGCGAAAGGGGCAATAACTTCGTAAGAGGTCATGGGTCAAACACGGGGGGTTGTTTTTCGAAATAACTTTTAATGTCCAGTATCACGAACTATAAAGTTTTTCGATAAGTCTTGCGGTTTCAAAAGTCCGGGAAGAAAAAGAAGAAGAATAATAATAATAACTAGTAGACTAATTGTTCTCGAACAATTAGAGGTCTTTCCACCATCTTTAAATTTCATAAATTCTTCATATTTAACTCTCTACTGTTTATTTTTTTACAAAAGAAACCAGAAATGGCTTGAGAGATGGAAAAAATGAAAATTTTAAAAATTTTGAAATGACCTTGACCTTTAACCTTGAATAAATATTCAAGGTCAAAGGTCAAGGGTCACATTGCAATTAACCCCATGCTTCTACGACTTTTACTTTTAAAGTTATAAGGTTTACTAGTAAGCGCAAAGACGTTAAAGGGCGATAACTCATATAAGGGGTCACCGGATACTTTCGCACTGTATAGATTGAAGTTGTGTCTTAAGACCCTGAATACATTAGTGAAGGTTTCGTGTCTCTGCGGTTTACGGTTTCGGAGGAGTAGCAATAACAAGGTTTTTCGCACAAGGGGCAATAACTTTTAAAAGGGTTAAGCTTAGGGGACAAGATTTAAATCTTTGAAATAGTTTTAAAAGTACATATAAAAGATGCAAGATGTACTGCATATGTTGAAAGACAAAAGAGCTATTAAAAGAGCTTTATTTCTCATATTTGGAATGACCTTGACCTTTGACCTTGACATAATCTTCAAGGTCTAGGGTTAAAGAATCTAATGCAGTTAGTTTCATGTCTCTACGGCTTATCGTTTTGAAATATTTTCATTATTTGTAAACTTCAAAAACTTTCAGGGGCAATAACTCATAAAAGGGCTCAACAAATCCTTTCATAATGAATAGATTGAAGAGTCTTCTCAATTAGTCGAAGATATTGGTGAAGGTTTCGTAACTCTACGGTTTACGGTTTCGGAGGAGTAGCGATAACAAGGTTTCTAGTGAAAGGGGCAGTAACTGCGAAAGGGGTCATAGGTTATATGCGTTGGGTCAAATTTGTTCATAAATTTTTATGACCGTTATCATGAACAAAAAATCTTTTCGATAAATGTCGAAACAAAAAATCAGCGGAAGAAAAATAATAACAAGAAGAAGAATAATAACTAGTAGACTAATTGTTCTCGAACAATTAGAGGTCTTTCCACCTTCTTTAAATTTCATATATTTTTCACATTTTACTCTATAAAGTTAATTTTTATACCAAAAGAATCCATAAATGGCTTGAAAGATAGAAAAAATGAAAAATTTAACAAATTTGAAATGACCTTGACCTTTGACCTTGAACAAATTTTCAAGGTCAAAGGTCAAGGGTCACATTGCACTTGACCCCATGCTTCTATGCCTTTTAGTTTTGAAGTTATAAGGTTTAATAGTAAGCGCAAATACATTAAAGGGCAATAACTCATATAAGGGGTCAATGGATACTTTCGCACTGAATAGATTGAAGTTGTGTCTAAAGACCCTGAAGACATTAGTGAAGGTTTTGTGTCTCTACGGTTTACGGTTTCGGAGGAGTAGCGATAACAAGGTTTTCAGTAAAAGGGGCAATAACTTTTAAAGGGGTAAATCTTAGGGGACAAGTACAAAATCTTTGAAATAGTTTTAAGAGGACATATTAATGATGCAAAGATATTTAGTATATGTTGAAAGACAAAAGAGATATAAAAAGAGCTTAATTTCTTATATTTTGAATGACTTTGACCTTTGACCTTTGCATATATTATATGGTCAAAGGTCATTGAATCTTATTCAGTTGGTCCCATGTCTCTATAACTTATTGTTTTGAAAATTTTTAATTATTTGTAAACATCAAAAACTTTCAGGGGCAATAACTCATAAAAGGGGTTGACGAATACTTTCGCAATGAAAAGATTGAAGAGTCCCCTCAATTAGTCGAAGTCATTTGTGAAGGTTCCGTACCTCTACGGTTTATGGTTTCGGAGGAGTAGCGATAACAAGGTTTCTATCAAAAGGGGCAATAACTGCGAAAGGGGTCATAGGTTATACGCGTTGGGTCAAATTTGTTCCTAACTTTTTATGACCTTTACGGTCAACGAATAATCTTTTCGATAAACATCGAAACAAAAAATCAGCGGAAGAAGAATAATAATAACTAGTAGACTAATTGTTCTCGAACAATTAGAGGTCTTTCCACCTTTAAATTTCATATACTCTTCATATTTAACTCTCTACTCTTTATTTTTATACAAAAGAAACCAGAAATGGCTTGAGAGATGGAAAAAATGAAAATTTAAAAATTTTGAAATGACCTTGACCTTTGACCTTGAACAAATATTCAAGGTCAAAGGCCAAGGGTCACATTACAATTAACCCCATGCTTCTACCACTTTTAGCTTTAAAGTTATAAGGTTTACTAGTAAGCGCAAAGACGTTAAAGGGCGATAACTCATATAAGGGGTCATCGGATACTTTCGCACTGAATAGATTGAAGTTGTGTCTAAAGACACTGAATACATTAGTGAAGGTTTCGTGTCTCTGCGGTTTACGGTTTCAGAGGAGTAGCGATAACAAGGTTTTTCGCACAAGGGGCAATAACTTTTAAAAGGGTTAAGCTAAGGGGACAAGATTTAAATCTTTTAAATAGTTTTAAAAGTACATATTAATGATGCAAAGATATACTGTATATGTTGAAAGATAAAAGAGCTATAAAAAGAGCTTTATTTCTTTTATTTGGAATGACCTTGAACTTTGACCTTGACATAAACTTCAAGGTCTAGGGTTAAGGAATCTAATGCAGTTAGTTTCATGTCTCTACGACTTATCGTTTTGAAAATTTTTCATTATTTGTAAACTTCAAAAACTTTCAGGGGCAACAACTCATAAAAGGGCTCAACGAATCCTTTCGTAATGAATAGATTGAAGAGTCTTCTCAATTAGTCGAACACATTGGTGAAGGTTTCGTAACTCTACGGTTTACGGTTTCGGAGGAGTAGCGATAACAAGGTTTCTAGCGAAAGGGGCAATAACTGCGAAAGAGGTCATAGGTTATACGCGTTGGGTCAAATTTGTTCATAACTTTTTATGACCTTTACGATGAACAAAAAGTCTTTTCGATAAATGTCGAAACAAAAAATCAGCGGAAGAAAAATAATAATAAGAAGAATAAGAAGAAGAAGAATAATAATAATAAACAGAAGAAAATCAATAGGTCTTTCCACAGAAAGGTGGAAAGACCTAACTAGTAGACTAATTGTTCTCGAACAATTAGAGGTCTTTCCACCTTCTTTAAATTTCATATATTCTTCACATTTAACTCTCTACTGCTTATTTTTATACAAAAGAAACCAGAAATGGCTTGAGAGATGGAAAAAATGAAAATTTTAAAAAATTTTGAAATGACCTTGACCTTTGACCTTGAACAAATATTCAAGGTCAAAGGTCAAGGGTCACATTGCAATTAACCCCATGCTTCTACGACTTTAAGTTTTAAAGTTATAAGGTTTACTAGTAAGCGCAAAGACGTTAAAGGGCGATAACTCATATAAGGGGTCACCGGATACTTTCGCACTGATTAGATTAAAGTTGTACCTAAAGACCCTGAATACATTAATGAAGGTTTCGTGTCTCTGCGGTTTACGGTTTCGGAGGAGTGGTGATAACAAGGTTTTTTGCACAAGGGGAAATAACTTTTAAAAGGTTTAAGCTTAGGGGACAAGATTGAAATCTTTGAAATAGTTTTAAAAGTACATATAAAAGATGCAAAGATATACTGTATATGTTGAAAGACAAAAAAGCTCTAAAAAGAGCTTTATTTCTCATATTTGGAGTGACCTTGACCTTTGACCTTGACATAATCTTCAAGGTCTAGGGTTAAAGAATCTAATGCAGTTGGTTTCATGTCTCTACGACTTATCGTTTTGAAAATTTTTGATTATTTGTAAACTTCAAAAACTTTCAGGGGCAATAACTCATTGAAGGGCTCAACGAATCCTTTTGTAATGAATAGATGGAAGAGTCCCCTCAATTAGTCGAATACATTGGTGAAGGTTCCGTACTTCTACGGTTTAAGGTTTCAAAGGAGTAGCGATAACAAGCTTTACGGTGAAAGGGGCAATAACTGCATAAGAGGTCAAAGTTCAAACATGGGGGGTCGTTTTTCGGAATAACTTTTTATATCCAGTATCATGAACTATAAATTCTTTTGATAAGTTTTGCGGTTTCAAAAGTCCTGGTGAGAAATAAAATAATAATAAACATAAGCATTTCAAGAGGTCTTTCCACAGAAAGGTGGAAAGACCTAATAATAATAAACAGAAGAAAATCAATAGGTCTTTCCACAGAAAGGTGGAAAGACCTAATAATAAACAGAAGAAAATCAATAGGTCTTTCCACAGAAAGGTGGAAAGACCTAATAATAATAAACAGAAGAAAATCAATAGGTCTTTCCACAGAAAGGTGGAAAGACCTAATAAACATAAGCATTTCAAGAGGTCTTTCCACAGAAAGGTGGAAAGACCTAATAAGAATAAGTTCAAAGAAATACATTTACTATTGTGATGACAATAAAGGAACTTGAAAATAGGTCAATTTGACTTGATAATAAATGAAATTGACTGTTGGTGACCTTGACAATAGGTGAACTTGACTGTCGGTGACCTTAACAATATGTGACCTTGACTTTAGGTGACCTTGACAGTAGGTGAACTTAATTGTTGGTGACCTTAACAATATGTGAACTTGACTTGACTTTAGGTTACCTTGACAATAGGTGAACTTGACTTGACAGTAGGTAACCTTGACAACAGGTTGACTTGACAATAAACGAACTTGACTGTAGGTGACCTTGACAATAGGTGAACTTGACAACAGGTTATCTTGACAACAGGTGAACTTGTCATGACAATTATTAAACTTGGCTTGAATTTCCCAGAGGTGTATGTTGTATTTTTCAGCTGGAATATTTGCTGTCCCTGATTATCTGAACAAGGAGGTGGTCAGTCTGCTGTGTATGATGCTCCAAGTGGATCCCCTTAAACGGGCCACGATATCCCAGATAAGGTAAACAGTCAAGATATCCCAGATAAGGTAAACAGTCACGATATCCCAGATAAGGTAAACAACTACGATATCCCAGATAAGGTAAACAGTCACAATATCCCAAATAGGGTAAACAGTCACGATATCCCAGATAAAGTAAACAGTCACGATATCTCAGATAAAGTAAACAGTCACGATATCCCAGATAAAGTAAACAGTCACAGTATCCTAGATAAGGTAAACAGTCATGATATCCCAGATACGGTAAACAGTCATGATATCTCAGAAAGGATAAACAGTCACGATATCCCAGAAAAAGTAAACAGTCAAGATATCCCAGATAAGGTAAACAGCCAAAATATCCCAGAGAAGATAAACAGGCTTCAGTATCCCAGATAAGGCAAACAGTCACGATATCCCAGATAAGGTAAACAACCACGATATCCCAGATAAAGTAAACAGTCGCGATATCCCAATATAAAGTAAATAGTCATGATATCCCAGATAAGGTAAACAGTCATGATATCCCAGATAAGGTAAACAGTCACGATATCCCAGATAGGGTAAACAGCCAAAATATCCCAGAGAAGGTAAACAGTCACAATATCCCAGATAGAGTAAACAGCCAAAATATCCCAGAAAAGGTAAACAGGCTTCAGTATCCCAGAAAAGGTAAACAGTCACGATATCCCAGATAAAGTAAACAGTCATGATATCCCAGATAAGGTAAACAGTCACGATATCCCAGATAAGGTAAACAGCCTCGATATCCCAGATAAAATTAACAGCCACGATATCCCAGATAGATAAACAGCCACGATATACCAGATAAGGTAAACAGTCACGATATCCCAGATAAAGTAAACAGCCACAATATCCCAGATAAGGTAAGCAGCCACATTATCACACATAAGGTAAACAGCCACGATGTTTACCTTTTCGTCGAATCATCTTCAAACAAATTTTTCTGTTGTTTCCAAATATAATTTTTGTCTCATCACTAAAAACTACTGATGAACAGTGCTTCTCAACAGTCCAATTTCATTTCTGCCGACAAAGTTATTCATCTTGCACTGTCAACGCGAGAAATCATTATGGTCTTGGAAATGGGATGACGTTTGTAACTATGCTTCATCTTTCAGTTCTTGCTTCATTGTTCGAAGATGTATTTCTTTGTTAATAATTGAGCATATAGATACAGACTGTAGATGATACATGGTACAGATTTAGATGCACACTGTAGATAATATGTGATATAGATTTAGATACAGACTGTAGACGAGGCATGGTACAGATTTAGATGCACAATGTAGATGATATGTGATATAGATTTAGATACAGACTGTAGATGATACATGGTACAGATTTAGATGCACACTGTAGATGATATGTGATATAGATTTAGATACAGACTGTAGATGATACGATAATACATGGTACAGATTTAGATGTACACTGTAGATATGTGATACAGATTTAGATACAGACTGTAGATAAGGCATGGTACAGATTTAGATGCACACTGTAGATGATATGTGATATAGATTTAGATACAGACTTATATCGAAAACTCTTTAACAGGGAGCATGAGTGGTTCCAGAAGGACCTGCCATCTTACCTGTTCCCTTCCCCACAAGACCAGGACGCCTCCATTGTAGAAATGGATGTCATACGAGAAATTTGTGAGGTATGTCATACATGAAATCTCCCTGTGAGTGAGGTGAGTTACATGTGTAACTTGTGAGATAAGTTTTACATGAAATCTATCTGAGTGATGTGAGTTACACGTGTAACTTGTGAGATAAATTACACATGAAATCTGTGAGTAAGGTAAGTTACATGTGTAACTTGTGAGATAAGTTATCCATGAAATCTGTTTGTGAGTGAGGTAAGTTCATGTGTAAATTGTGAGATAAGTTATACATGAAATCTATCAGTGGGTGAGGTTAGATATATGTGTAACTTGTGAGATAAGTTATACATGAAATCTGTGAGTGAGGTAAGTTGCATGTGTAACTAGTGAGATAAGTTAATTTTCATTGAGAAATTTGTTACAAATTGTGCCAATGCAGGTTTAATCATTGATGTTTACAAATTTTTTAAATATATACAACTCTCAGCTTTACAACTTTCAACTTTATATGGGTACATGCATAAGACAATGACTAATAAACAGAAGAGGCATTGTATAGTAACGTATACATATAAATGTAGCGGTGTATGTTAATTTATAGCAGCAATGAGTATGTAGCGGTAATGACTATATTGAAAATGGCAGTAATGTAATGCCTCCCAAAAATTATGTTGTAGTTTCCTTTAATTTCTTGGACTAGAGTTAGACAAATTGACAAATTACTTAGTACTAGTAATTATATCAAGTGATTGATGAAAAATTATATTAACAACTCAGAAAAAGGCTGAATTCTGATGATTCAATTTGAACAGAAATTTGGTGTGACTGAATATGAAGTCCAGAGAGCTTTACTGAGCAATGACCCTCATGACCAGCTAAATATAGCCTATCACCTGATTGTGGACAACCGGAGACTCGCCGGGGAAGGTAAGGGAGGACTAGATTTACCGTGTTGACCACATCTTGATTGTAGTGAATAAATTTTGTAAATTTTTTCTTGAAGGTTTGCATGTATTTTGCATATTGACTTTTTAGAATTTTTGAAATTGTTATAATATTTTTTGTATCAATATGTTGTATCTGACAGGTGATTATGGAGGTAAAGTTGTCTCTCATGAGTTTTGGATAACATTCAAAGTACATGTATATAGCAGATCTTTCTTTGATTGTTTTTGTGTTTGTGTAGTGGATTTTTTCTGATTTCATTGATGAGTCCACTTCTTTTTTAACCTCAGTGTCCACCACTAGTACATGTATGTACTGATTTTACTGTTTTAGCTTAGCTGGTTCCATCTCTACCCTCTCTATTACATATAACAATGCATACATTTTCTATATTGGGTTTTTATTGAAGAAAAATATTAAATATTAAAAAATACTAAAAATGTTTCTCTAGTTTCTATTTTCAAAGAATCTTGCAGATTAGAAAATTTAAAAAAAAAATTACATTTTCATGCTCTCTAATATCTCTTTTCTAATTTCTTTTGCACAAAAATAAAATTTCTGATTTTCACATTGCATTAAACATTCATATTTTTTTTTTAAAAATACATGTATGTCATTGCTTAGCATAAAAAACTAATGACTTACAGTTTTAATTCACCAACCTGATTGGTATGTTCATTGGTTTCTGGCTTTTCATTTTCCCAGTGACTAGTAATGTTGGAATTGGTACAGATTTATAAATGAATTCCTCTCACAGTCTTGAGCAGTTGATGAACGTGTTCTTTATTCATGTTCAACATCATGAGCCTTGTTGCTGTGCCTTGTCATGTTCAGCTTAGCTCTCAGAGTTCATGGGCTGCATATCAAGTACTTGTGTACTTAAATAATGTAATTGAGATGGGGCATTTTCTGTTTAACAATAAATAGCAGCAATTAGTTTATTATGTATCCAGAATTCAGAATTAATGTTCATGAATTGTTATATGATTTAAAATGTAGTAATCTCACATCTTTTCAGGAACCATATACAAAAAATGATTTTATGACCTGTATATTTCATATAAAATATTATTGAAGAAGTAAATTTCTACTCTCTAGTGAATGATGTTAATAAACAATACATGAAATAACACAGGAAAAGAAAACTCTTATCAGTGCCGTAATTATCTGTGGATGGTTGTATTAATGTTGATTTTCCTTTTCCAGTTACAGATGTTGAGTTACATGAGTTTTATCTGGCCTCCAGTCCTCCCCCTGACTCCTTCCTTCTGGTAATGTATGCCACTGTATACCCCTGTAGACACAACTGTACACTACTGTAACACACTGTACACCACTGTAACCTATTATCTAATACTTAACCATGTACAAAACACACTGAATAATAATTATAACTACAGTATTTGATTACCCAGTAATATGTTCTCCTTTGAGCACTAGAAACCACACAACACAGACACTTGACCAATTCTGTGAACACCTTAAAATTTAATAACACATGTTCCTTACAGAAATATATCACAACTGCATATAATTATATGACAGTGTATTTATCAACAATCTACATTAAGTAGGTGCAGTTCAAGAAAATTATGCTGTATATAAAATTAGTTTTGTTTCTTAACTTATAGTGACTGTCATAGTTTTAACTGAAGGTCCATGTAGTTACACTGTTTTTAGAAGCTGACAAACATTGCAGAATTTTATGTCAGGTGGTATACTGCATTAATTGACACAAGTAATATACTTCTCAAATATGTCTATAAATAGCCACAAAACATTCAGTCTTGTGAACAGCTAAATATACATATGTAGAAGAAGTTATGAAATTCCAAACATTTCAAGTTCAGTATTTTTAAACTGAGTTAATTTTTCATAAAGTTTGATCATTCATCAATTATGTATTTTTTCATAAAATTTTAATCTTTAAAAAATCTTTTTAAAAAACCATGATCATTTTAAATTAAGAATTACAGATATGATTTTGTTTCATGTTTTATTGTTTAATGAAAAATTGTATATTTCATGATTCTGCCATGAGTACTGTATAATTGTTTCTGTTTTTGGCAATAGGCAAAGCAGTCTCATATACTGGGCACACCAACTCCCCAGGAACATGTTAGTATTTCACTGACAACACCCCTTATCTAGACCTACAGTAAACTGCACAGTTTTCTATAGTGTGTATGTCACTGTTGCAGAATTAAGCTGTTTTGCGAGCTCAATTGAGCCCAAGGCTCATGTGAACTTTTCTGAGCAAAGTTTGTCATCTATCTGTCATTTTTGTCTGGACAACTTTTAAGCAACTTTGACCAAACCATTCTTGATTATTGGATGTCATGATTCATGTAAGCAAAAGGCCATGTCTTCTTTCAAGGGAAGATAAGTAAAAATAGAGAAAATAGGGTGAGACATTGAAAAATCTTATTCTCAAGAACTTCTGAGCTGGTAAAGCCAAACCTTGGAGGAAAATTTACAAACATGTTCATGTTTATTCAGACCATTTCTTAAGGGGCAAGGGAGAGGCTGTAATGGAGAATTGAAGATTCAAATACAATATGTAGGAACATACATGTATATGTAAAATCATTAAAAATCTCTTCATAAACAACTGGACCAGATTTAACAAAATTTAAAATGTGAAAGCAAAACATGTTCTGTAGATCCAAATGTGAATAAATTATGAACCCTGAGGTTAAATAGGTACTTTTATGGGAGATTTTACATATGAATACACAGAATTTCTCAATAATCATGATAACAACAAGACTATTACAGTGTATTGATAAATTTCATAACAATTAGTTTACTGTAGTTAAAAGTTGTTGAATATGTTTGACAGGGAGATTTGACTCGGGTGAGCAGTGTGGCCATTGGACCTCTTGTTTCCCTTTATATTTGATTGTAAATGTTTGAGCTGCATCAATATAGACCTCATGTTCTGCAGTACTTAGCTCAGCAATCTGTAGTCTCTCTGGCCAATCATTTAACAGAATTTAATACTAGTACCAACTCGAGAAATCTGAGGATGTGTATAAAAGTATGCTTGTATTATTCATGTTCATGTACTAGTATAGAACAATGCTTGTTCATTAAAGTCATAAGAATGCTTATTTTATTTACATTTGAGTAACTTATTATGCTAAAGAAAAAATAAATACATATTAGCCCTACTTAAGCAGAGATCGGCTTCTTATTAAGTCAGTATTTTTCCACTGCTTTTGGACTTAAAAATCTGCTACAGCTATAGTATATATTTTGTTAGTAACCTAGGTTGTAGGGCTGTGGAGCTTCCATGATAATCATTTGATGGGAAATCTCATCTCTTTTTTTAAATTTTAGATTTGTCTATAATATTGGATGATTGCTATTTAATATTTTAAAGTGAAAGCATATAGTACTGCAAGCACAAATGCTGTAAACATTGAATGTTTGATGATGCTATAAGCTGACAAATGCTTAATAATAAGTAGAGTGAATTGAACATATTTTATTGACAGAGTCAAAAGGAGAAGACACAAGTTCTATAACTTACATACTCTTCTCAAAATAAAAGAAGTAGAGTTTCCACCTTCAGTGTTCTTATCCTTTTTAAAGAGCAGTGGTAGTGCTAGTAGACCATCAATGTTACCATATTTCTAAAATATTGAAATCATCAAACTTTCAATTCTTCAATATAACCACATTTATATTATCCTGGGTGATGGGATCTTTTTTTTTTCTTCTTTTTTTTTTTGATACTGAGATTTGAAATGAATTCAGTAAAAAAAAAGTAAATAGTCCTTTCATGATTTGTTTATATTTTGCTTTTTATCCACTTTACAATTTAAAAAATGCACATCATTTGATGCATATTAGATATTTTAAATAGAGAAATCATTAAGAAGTGTGCAAAATTCTGGAGAACCAGTATTTGATGGCTCTTGAAAAATAATGTATTGTCTTGGAATTATTTTTAATCAAAACTTTAAAAACAAACAGATAAAATGTAATGTGTGACAAATAATATTATTAATAACATTGCCATCAACTAATTTGAATACATTTGACTGGGGCTTGCTGCTTGTTATTTTAGCAATAAGTTGTTCAAATTCCCGCCCATGAATTCCAATAAAAACTTTTTTTTTTTTTAAAAAAAAAAGAAAGAAACTTCCCAGAGAATTTAGAATTATGTCACTAGTCAAGTGACCAGGAAGACTAAATACTCAGTTGTGCCAATCTGATGTTGTGTCCTGATGGATTCTGTTTAAATCCAGGCAGAATTTGAAAGGGGTGTTTGAACACAAAAATTTTAGCATTTTACATCATTTTTGATGACTGATTTAAAAAAACCTAAGGATTTTATTAACCTTTTATGGCCACTGACATCTATGTTTTTATTTGGTTTTACTTTCTGATGGTCTGTAGTTGTGTTCAGGTATTTGAGCAGCATATCACTGTCTAAGGTTTGTTTTATTATTCAACTTTGAATAAAAAAAAATTGAGCTATAGGTCTGATTAGGGTTAGGGACTTATGGTTTTAATCATTCTACTACATTTATTTTCTGGTGGTTGTTTTTATTGAGGTCATAGAATCTTATCCTCATAATAGCTTTTACACAAATATCATTTGTTCTAGCTAAGATGAAGGCAGCGGTCTGTTTATGTTAGATTCACCCACAACACACTGATAAATTACTGTAAACCAACTTTTATTCGCATGTGAGAAATATCCGCGAGTTTTGCAACCCTGGTTTAACTTGATAATATTAATCGCCGCAAAGTATTGATTTTGCTTTGTATTTGTTGTGAATGTTTCCTTAGTCATGGAAAGTAATCGTCATGGATTGATTTCAAACTGACGAATCACGAATCAAAGATGATGCGAATAATAGTTGGTTTACAATATTTCAATATTTTTTAGCTCACCTCGACGAAGTCGAGATGAGCTTATGCTATACCCCTGGCGTTGGCGTTGGCGTAAGCGTCGGCGTCCCAGTTAAAGTTTTATGAGCAAGTCCCATTCCGAAGTAACTATAGGCCCTACCTGGACCACACTTGCATGGATGATGCATCTAGGGATGGACACTACCACACTTGCTTCAGATGCTGGATCTGACGTAGATTTTCCAGATGAGTGACCAGGTTAAAGTTTTTGGAACAGGTCCATTCCCAAGGAATTATAAGCCCTACCTAGACCAAACTTGCATGGATGATGCATCTAGGGATGAACACTACCACACTTGCATCGGATGCTGGTTCTGACCTAGATTTTCCAGATGAGTGACCAGCTTAAAGTTTTTGGAGTAGGTCCATTACCAAGTAATTATAAGCCTTACCTGGACCAAACTTGCATGGATGATACATCTAGGGATGGACACTACCAACTTGCTTCAGATGCTGGATCTGACCTAGATTTTCCAGATGAGTGACCAGGTTAATGTTTTTGGAGCAGGTCCATTCCCAAGTAATTATAAGCTGTACCTTGACCAAACTTGCATGGATGATGCATCTGGGGATGGACACTACTATACTTGTTTTGAAAGCTGGGTCTGACCTAGATTTTCCAGATGAGTGACCAGATTGAAGTTTTTGGAGCAGGTCCATTCCCAAGGAACTGTAAGCCCTACTTGGACCAAATTTGCATGGATGATGCATCTAGGGATGTACACTAACTAACCTGCTTCGGATTCTGGATCTCACCTAGATTTTCCACATGAGTGAATTTTAGCCATATTTTAACCAAATTAGCATGGATGATGATGTATCTAGAGATGAACACTTCCAGACTTGCTTTGGATTCTGAATCTAATATTGATGGATATTAATCTTCGGATGTACACTAAATATGATGTGAGATTTCCTTACTTATAGATAACATTCGTCGAGGTCAGCTTAGTAATCTTTGATTACCTATGTTTTTCATTGTCAAGAGAGACTTAGGTGCAAGCATATCTTGAACCTTAGAAACATATAATAAAGTTGATTTGGGGTGAATGTGAATTATTGATATTAAGCTTATATTTATGATTTACTTTTCTTTTTATTATCTTTAATAAGCAGACAGTCCATCATTTGTAGCATCTGTACTCTGTATATATTTCATTCCCTTCACAATACAATGTTCTTATATAATTATTTGATCTCTGTTTTTTGTGGAATGATTGATGCCATTGACCAGGCATGAGCATGCAATGTTACCCTGTGTTGTACCCCACAACTTGATCCTTTTTATAATCGTGCATGGATCTGCTCTTATTGGAGCCTTATTAAGGCTAGAGTCTGAGACTACCCTCCACCCTGTTGTATAATGTTACAATTCTAAGATGATTTCTGAACAACACTTGATGCGACCAATAATCTCTAATATACCTGTAACTATCTAAGATTTAATGATATACACCTGGTAGTTTGTACTAATGCCAGGTGATAATTAGTATTTCTGTTGTTGTTACAGACCACACTTGTAATTTGTACTAATGCCAGGTGATAATTTGTATTTCTCTTGTTTTTACAGACCACACCTGTAATTTGTACTAATGCCAGGTGATAATTTTTTTTTTCTTGCTGTTACAGGCCACAAGTCCCATGAGACCTCACCCAGAAAGGATGCCAGGTAAATATAACAGTGTCACATCCTCCTCAGGAGTAAAGCTTAACATTGACAATGCAAACTGCATTTTATTGTAGTGTCTTTAAGTAACATTTAAATATTTAAAACTTTTTAAAAATCTTCTTTACTTGTTGAAGTTGCAGTATTTATACTACTTGTCAGTGACTGACTTTTATTTGTGCTCACTGTGTGTTATTTTAGAGATGAAGAACACCTCTCATACTTTAGAACCTATTGTTAACACAAAACAACTTGGTGCTCAGGCAAAGAAGGCCAAATGGCATTTAGGTAAGTTTTAATCTAGGTTCTGTTTTCAAACTTAAACACAGGTCAATTAGATTAACTCACACTTCTTTTATCTGTACTGTCTACACAATCAGTGTTGTGATAAATGACAGGCATTCAAAGTTAATATCAGTCTTGGTCAATCTTGTTAACTTGAACACTGTTTGTTCTTGCAGGAATCCGATCACAAAGTAAACCTCTAGACATCATGCATGAAGTTTACCGAGCCATGAAAACTTTAGACTATGTAAGACTTAGAAATCTGTAATCTTCCTTTGAATTGTCAAAATCTTAAAGTTTCTTTATACAGCATTAATGTTGACTAGCTATTAGTGTATGATTCTCGTCATCAAGGTTTATGAGAAGAGGGTATTTATTCCTTTGCTCTTGTATGAATTGTATCTTATAAACTTTTGTATGGATCTTGTCATATAAACTTTTCTGTTCTTTATTTGAAAGGAATGGAAGATTGTGAACCCATACCACGTACGAGTCAGAAGAAAGAACCCTGTTACTGGAAGACACGTAAGTCACCAAATACTACATGAATTTTACTTTATCTGTCAGTAATTGACTAACTCTGAATCTGACCCTGTAATAGTAAGTGAAGAGAGCAAAACCATACCATGTTTTTACTGTATCTAAGCAGTGAATGAATAAATAGAAAAAATGTCATGTGTTTACAAAACAAGACTATCCTAGAGTTTCTACTTTGTCATAAGATGACATATTTTCTATACATATAACTCATCAATGCCAAAAGCTAGGAGTCAGAAATTGTTATAAAATTCACAAGGATCTGTATATTGAGATAACTCACTCCCTTTGTTATATAGACATTTCCACTTTTCCAACTGTCATTGATGTCCCTGGAATACCCAACAAACAAGACAATGATTCCTTATATTTACATTAATTTTATATGTGAAATAAAAGTGTTAAAATAAATTTTAAAAATGATGTCTCATGGATATTAAAATACAGGAGACATTCCATGTTAATTTCCATTGTCCTCGCCCTCTGACAACAGACACAAAGACAGCCTAGAGAGAGTGATATGCATTTTAGACATTTGACTTTTCATTTGGTGAAATTTACATTGAGTTGTTATTTTTGAAAAATCAACTCGCCTAACTTTCAAAGAGTTATCACAGAGAAACCAATTGGAAATGTAAATATATAGACGTAACCCTCTCTCTTTGACACAGTCTAAAATGAGTCTACAGCTGTACCAGGTTGACCAGAAGAGTTACCTACTGGACTTTAAGAGCCTGTCTAACGTGGAGATCCATGAGTCAATGTCTTCGTCCTCGTCCGTCGAGTCCACTCGTATGCCGATGTCACCTCCCTCTTCCTGCTCTGATCTTGGTGAGTTGTCTCCCTTCTCAAAGACCATAGTTTCCTTGTTCTCTTGTTACCAAAAATGTTGATAGTTTTTTGTTCTGATCTTGGTGAGTTATCTCCTTTCTCTGATTTTCTGTTGATTAGATGCAGAAGATTTCTTTTTTTTCCAATGATCATTGTTTCAAATTCAGAATGTAGCAATGTTTCTTGAATTTTGATCTCAGCTTGAAATATGTAATTTTTTTCATTTATAAAAATAGTTTGGTTTGATTTCCAACTCTTTCAAAATCAATCCTAAATTTATTTTAGATCCAAAAAAGTCACTGATCATAATGATTTATACATTTCATACATTTTTGTTACATTTTGCAACCTTTGTGATTCTATCTAAACAGTACACTTTAACATGAGACATGGAACATTTGCTCAACTCATTCATGATAACTACGTAAAGTCAAAATTTAAATGCATACCGGTAATTTCCACAGTAAATTGTCTTTATTTTTGTTTTGCCAGCATTTTTTACTGATACAGGTATATTAGCAATATGAAATTTAATCTGTGCTGTCTTTTGACATTGAAGTAAAAATGTTTATTGATTAAGATGAGGTTGTCTTATTCTATGCAGTATCATAAGTGTTCACTTTTACATAAATTCCATATGTATCCGGCATTTTTATATCCAAAATATGAATTTACCTCAAGAACTTACCCTTCTCCGTTAGGCCAGAATTTGAATTTTTTTTGTCATTTAAATGCCTTGCCTTTCCCTTTTATTAATAAGCTAGGATTTACAGAAATGCCTCTTAGATACTTCTGATGAATCTACAGTACATAGTTGGTGTATTTTCAACCTCAATATCAAATTTGAAAATAGACAGAAAATAATATTACAATTAATCATCATTATATAAAAAAAACTATCAACATCACTAAATGTTTCCAGGGTATTGCCAACACAAGATTATATTGCTGAACGAGAAAACTAATATGTTGTCATGTTTGTTTGTTGTTTAACATCCCTCTCGAGAATTTTTCACCTGTACGGGAGACGGTGTCATGTAATAGATTATATGTTGTCATGTAATATTGAGTGTATGGTTCTATGATTTCAGATCCGGCCACTGATACAGTCTTGTTAATGCCTGGTAAGTGATTATTTTACTTATGAAATAATTCAATGAGAATCACACATAATGATCCTTTGTTGCTTGTGAGATGTGTTGCCTTGTTTAGCTCAAGAGATTCAGGCAAATCTGTCTTATTGCCTTGTTTAGCTCAAGAGATTCAGGCAAATCTGTCTTATTGCCTTGTTTAGCTCAAGAGATTCAGGCAAATCTGTCTTGTTGCCTTGTTTAGCTCAAGAGATTCAGGCAAATCTGTCTTGTTGCCTTGTTTAGCTCAAGAGATTCAGGCAAATCTGTCTTGTTGCCTTGTTTAGCTCAAGAGATTCAGGCAAATCTGTCTTATTGCCTTGTTTAGCTCAAGAGATTCAGGCAAATCTGTCTATTTGCCTTGTTTAGCTCAAGAGATTCAGGCAAATCTGTCTTATTGCCTTGTTTAGCTCAAGAGATTCAGGCAAATCTGTCTTGTTGCCTTGTTTAGCTCAAGAGATTCAGGCAAATCTGTCTTGTTGCCTTGTTTAGCTCAAGAGATTCAGGCAAATCTGTCTTATTCCATGGTAAGTAATGAGCTAAACTTACACAGGAAATAAGTTATCTTCTTATTGTGTGGTAAATAATTTCTGTTCTCCTAAACAATTCTAAAGACGTATTCTGTACATTATTATATTCATGAATGTATATATCTCCACACTTGTATTGTCTATCCTTCCAAATCTATACAGTCACAAAAAATACAATAAATATGCCATTTCAGATATATTTCATTTCTTATAATGAAACTTGTATAGATTGTCCAATGGCCATATCTGTTAAAAGTACATAATTATAACTCTAAATTCGTCTTGCACATTTTTTTTCCATTGTGTCTTTGAAAATCCTGTTGAAATGCACATTTGAGTTGCTTTTGATGTTTTTTTAACTTTTAATTTTTTTTTATTTATCACAATGCAGTTACTTGTCTGTATATGTCAGAAATTTTGACACAGATAATCATATACATGTATCTATTGATGTCAATAGGAGAGACTGTTTTCTACAGAGTGACTGACTGGCGGTGTGATTGCTTTTATCTTGTTTTAAGCCTCGAATTTCAGCCTCAGTAAATGTGTGTTTTACTTCACGTTCTTCATTCTTTAGATCCAGCAGCATCTGAAGCTCAAGTTATCAATAATCATGGTAACGGCTGTGATTTGTTTCCATGTAGATTGTCCACCTGACTTAGTGTTTTTGTTTTGTTTACCAGATTTAATGTTGTGATGTTGAAACAATACTCAGATTTCAGCATACTGCATGATATTGCATCAGAATTTGTATTTACACACTGAAAGATAACTTTAAGTACATGTTCTTAATTTTACATGAAAAGGTATAGATTAAAAAAAATAAATAAAAAGTCTGTTTGTTGAAGGTACATATATGTACATTATGAATATGAACAACAAGTACCAAGTATGTGGATAAGGACAGATGTATGTTAATTAAATATTATTTAATGTAAAGAAATTTTAACGTGCTGTAACTTGGTTAGAGGCAAAGTATAGGTGGGTAAAGATAAAAAAAAAACAACTTATTAGCTCTACTGGTCAGAGACCAGAAGAGCTTATGCGATAGTAAGGTGTCCATCGTCTGTTCGTCTGTCTGTCCGTCTGTCTGTAAACAATTTTTCAAAATGCTACTCTGCCTACAGTTTTGGTCTGATTTCTATATAATTTGGCACACAATTAGACTACACTAAGATACATAAATAAGTGCATCGGTTTTTGATTTCGATGAACGGTGTTGCCATGGTTACTAAAAATAGAAAATTCTATAAAATTTCTTTAAAATGCTACTCCTCCTACAGTTTTTGTCTGATTTCAATATAACTTGGCACACAAGTAGACTACACTAAGATACATAATTTAGTGCATCGGTTTTTGATTTCGATGAACGGTGTTGCCATGGTTACTAAAAATAGAAATTTCTGTAAAATTCCTTTAAAACGCTACTCCTCCTAGTTTTGGTCTGATTTCTATATAATTTGGCACACAAGTAGACTACACTAAGATACATAATTTAATGTATCGGTTTTTGATTTTGATGAACAGTGTTGCCATTTGCCATGGTTACTAAAAATAGAAATTTCCATAAAATTCCTTTAAAATGCTACTCCTCCTACAGTTTTTGTTTGATTTCAATATAACTTGGCACACAAGTAGACTACACTAAGATACGTAATTTAGTGCATCGGTTTTTGATTTCGATGAACGGTGTTGCCATGGTTACTAAAAATAGAAATTTCTGTAAAATTCCTTTAAAACGCTAGTCCTCCTACGGTTTTGGTCTGATTTCAGTATAACTTGGCACACAAGTAGACTACACTACGATACATAATAGTGTGCATCTGTTTTTGATTTCGGTGAACGGTGTTGCCATGGTTACTAAAAATAGAAATTTCTGTAAAATTCCTTTAAAACGCTACTCCTCCAACAGTTTTGGTCTGATTTCAGTATAACTTGGCACACAAGTTATTGATATATAATCAATAACGATACATAATAGTGTGTATCGGTTTTTGATTTTGATGAACAGTGTTGCCATGGTTACTTTAAATAGAAATTTCTGTGAAATACTTTCAAAATGCTACTCCTCCAACAGTTTTGGTCTGATTTCAATATAATTTGGCACACAAGTAGACTACATTAAGATACATAATTCTATTTATTGCTGCATGTTGCAAAGTTTCAAATCCGAGTGCTACTTTTCTTTTGTTATATGTACAGACCAGTAGAGCTACAGTCTCATCAGAGACTTCTGGTTTTTTCAGGTGCACTCTTGAGACCAATAACCATTTTTTCTTAATAAAGATAAATAGATTATTTCTTTCTTATTTCCCAGGTGTATTCATAAACTTGCACAATGGTTTTAATCTGAGAAGAATGTTTGGGTGTGTTCAGATCACTGAGTGCCTTATCCTACTCTTTAACATTCCCTAACATCGTGTAAACTTGATTTCAGACATAGGTTGATCTTTTTAGCTTGTTGTTTGTTGTTACTATGACAGTATACTTATTTATCTGAGAGTATATACTCTAGAGAAATTGTTGTTATATAAAATGTCCTGTATATTGTTAGTGCTACTGGTGATAGACCAGACAAGCATCTGTATTAGTAGTGTCCAATCTGTCTGTTTGTCCATCTGTTTGTCTCTTTATAAACTTTTTTTTAATGCAAAAGTCTTGGACTGATTTTAATAAAACAAATTATTGTAGTCTACATAGGGTTATATTTTTGTGCATCAGCTTTCGTAGAGCTACAGTCTTGCCAGACACTTCTGGTATGCTCACTTTAATTTATTCTCCCCTTCTCTCTCTAAAAGAAAGGACATAAATTTACTGAATTAGCTTGTTATTTTAATTTTTTCTGGCTTGTTGATGTGTTTCAATCTACTTTTTTTGTTTTGTTTAGAGTCCTCGACCAGTGAAAGTTTAGCTAGTATCCTAGGTATTGAGTGTACACATTTATCTTGGATTTTCTCACTATTAATATTTTCATTTTCTATTGCTGTGGAGCATTCTTCATCATTAACAATCCTGATCATCTGCCCTTCAAAGAATTAACTGTAATAAAAAAGGCCAGGAAAATGCTTGCAGTATGGAACTGGGAAATATGCACTTCAGTTTTTATATGCCTTTTTGATGTCAACAATTAATAGTGACACTAGTATCATCAGATATGCCTTGTAATGAGTATTCTACAACATAGTCTTTAAAATTAAATGGTAACAGTGCAAATCCCTATTTTGTCATCAATTCTCAATCATCATCAATTTTTTTTTCTTCTGAATTTTTAAAAAATTATTTATTGTAGCACTTAGGCAAATGTTACATCGCTTGACCTGAATATACATGTATATAATCAAAGATTCTAATTAAAAATCACATTCTAGAACAGATTGCTTTAATATTTACAGTTACATGTATCTTGCAGACGAGAAGCTTTATCATTCATAACATACTTGTATATATAAATACATACATTATAATTCTCAATAGTTATAAATAACTGAAGCTATGGCAGGCCTAGCGGGCTTGATTAATACTCTGTATTCATTTCTACTATTCTGCTTTACTCCAAGCCTAGCAGGGACAATGCTTTGAGCCAGCATGACTATGGTTCCATAAGACACTTTTTGTCATTGTTACTAATTAGAACTTTAATGATTTTTAGATGAGAAGATGGACATAGATGAGGACCAGCCTAAGCAACACCAGACTCTGGAGTTTTTTGAAATGTGTGCAAGTCTTATTACAACACTGGCCAGATAGAAGATTATACAAAGATCACTGAAAGATTCAGCACCTACAGGAGTTGTACACCAAAGTATAGAGAATCACTGTACCAGTATATAAAGTCCATTGTCTATGTGCTTTATTCTGATATTAACTCATTCCTTCTACTCTGTATATCTTGTCAGTGTTGCAAGCACAACAGCAATGTTAATGTTACTAGTGTGCAATATGTGATAGATTTCAACCAAACTATGTTATGCCATTTGTCTTATATTGCCAGTGGGTGTTAATATCAGTAGCTAAGAATTTTCAGTGTTTACGATTTTGTAGATGAATGTCTGGTAATTGTCTTGGAACAATATGTAGAAAAGGGTGTCTGTGATAAAGTTCTCTGTGTTGTCTGTATTAAGTTTATTTTTGTCTTTGTTTACTGGACAACTGAATGCATTTAAAATGTGGATCATTTGTTGCTGTAGTAATCATTTGGATTGAGATACACATGTACCTGTTTGGGGTAAGATTAGGAATGAGTGACACAGACTGTTTCAGGGTTGTCACTGGTATTATGTTTTCTGCCAGATTATTTCCTCAAAACTGAACATAATGGTGACTAGTGCTTTGGATGGTGTCTGGAGAATGTTGTATTATGATTACCATTACTTGTACTTCCATGGAATTTAATTGATAATTTGATGTTTTATCATTCATGTATTTGACATTTATTTACTAGTTATCTTCTGATTTGAGAGAGTAATAAGGACTGTTTATGTTGAAGCTTTATTTTGTGTTATATTTTGCTCAGCTCTTTTTTTCTATGTAGAGCAACAGAGAATGACTAAATCTTCTAAATATGTTTATTGAAAACTTGAAACATTTATTACAATGACATTGGGCCCTTTAACTACTGCTGTATTCATGTAATGAGAAATTGGATGAAATTGCGGCATGCATTATTATATTGTATCTGTTTGAACCCATATTATTGGATCTTATAAAATATTAAACACATGTACATAAAGGGAGAATGACCCCCTGCTCATGAGACAAATGACAATCTTCTAACAAAAGACTGAGATCTAAAAAGAAATAGAAACCAGTTGTAGTAAACCATTTTGTCAGTTTTACAGTTATCTCTCTTTGCAGATTTATCTCTTTTTCTGGAAAGTCATTTGTTCTTAATCAGACTTTTTCTTTTTTTGTCCTGGGAGCAGGAAGATTTTGTATGAGTAATGCTTTTCCTGGCAGCTGAATTCCACCTCGGTTTTCTGAGTTTGGGTCTGCCCACAGGCAGCTAGGTTTTGTAAATATTTACAGCTTTGACGATATGTATTGTAGAATTGAGAGAGGACATTAGTAAAAGAGGGTTTAATAAGCACTGATTCTCTATGGTACTTCTATAAGAGATAAGTTCTCATTCAGAAAAATGAAATATTTTATGAATCAAATGTCAATGTTTGTTTTCAAAATATTACTATTAAATGATTCTGGAGAGATTAATTTCAATTATATGGTTGCTGCAAATGTCTGTTGAATATATTGTTAATCATAATATTCAGAGGTATAGTTCTTCATAAAGTCATTTCAATAACAAATGCTTTAGTTCCTAGTCTGGAACATTTTATGCTACCAATACGTTCTGCTAAGATTAAGTTTGTTACCAATGAATGTAAACTTATCTTTGACTGTGCTTAACATTAATTGTATGAGTTTTTTTTTTTTGTTTATTTGATTATGCTTGCTGTTTACATTACCCCTGAATGACTGTTAGTTATCATACAATATTGTTAATACTGTCACAGAGGCCAAACCTGATGATGTTCCTGCTGTCCATGCTGTCATGGAAACCAGACTTCAGAGAGTTTGATCCCTGTCTTTAATAGGGCTGAGGTTTCTGTTGTGAATGTTTATATTATAATGGTTCATATTACATAAAATAAAGTCATTCTCCAAACTTACTAAGTGTGTGTGACTTTGTTTTTGACTACAAGAATAGATCAAAAAAAGAAGGGAAAAAACAGCAATAATAATTCTTCTATCTGCACATTGAATACAAACTGCATAATTTTAGATGACTTAAGATATGTTTTGAGCCCTTAACAAGAATTTTGATTCAAACATCCAGGCTCCAAGTGAAGGTACAGCTAAGCTGATTCATACTGATTCAAAATTGGGGATTTAAGTTTCAAACATTCAGGCTTTATGTTACATGCAGTTAAGCTAAATTTAATGTTGAAATTACTTCATATCTTCAAAATTGGGGAATGGCTGATCATATGAACAATGTAGAGATAGCTTATACTTGCATGTATGTACTATATCGAGATCTGATAAAATTTTTGTCCATATCTGACGTAAACATTCTTGTTCAATTCCTCTAGGTCCAATGGGAATTTGGCCAACTTGACATACTGAAGTATTTGTAGGTGAAGGAGTTCAAGGATGCTCCAGGGAAGAAATATGTGTAATTACTGTTTAGAAACATTGCAAATAGTGTTGGTGATTTTAAAATCGTTACAAGTATCCATTTAAAAAAAATTGTTTAAAATTTCCTTGTAGATTCATTTTCTTTAGACGAGGTTAATTGGGGGAATGGACTGCATTCATAACAGTTGAAAGTTCTATAGAAGTTAATGTTCATGGGGAAAAAATTTTTTGTCAATTTCGAAAGCTGGCTGCTGGGGCAGGGATGGTATGTGTTAGCACAAAATGAATCGCATGTATAGGAAAATTCTTTGGATTAATTGTAGAATGGTAATGGTTTAATCTGCAAGAATCCTGTGAATGTAAATTAATAAGTATGTCCATTTTTGACTCCTAACACCCCCCTCCCTCCCCCCGCCAAATGATAATAAATTATTAATTAGAATAAGTACAAATCGACAAATAATTTGGGGGGTTTTTTTGAAAGGATAACAAATTGTCATAATGTTTCAAATGTCAGTTTGTCATATTTATGACAGTCTTTGAGAGTTTCATAAAGGACATTAATTTAAAACTATATAATTATGTTGAACTGGGAATCTAATTTTTAAAAGACTTTTACATGTCTGGAATTTGATCTCAGCAATGGAACAGCCATTTTATTTTCTTCAGTGATATTCTTTAAGAAGTACAATTATTTTTAATCAACTTGCTCATACTTTTCCGGAATATAGATATCCAACCATACTGAGTTTGTGAATAGAATTTCCAAATAGCAAACAAACATGGCCGCGTACAGTAAGTTGACGGCTAGAAATTCAGCCGTCGCTACAGCTGGTTTAGCGGCCGCTTACTTTGCATACAGAAATTACCTGGCAAAGAAAAGAAAAAGGTATATGATTTTATTTTGTCAAATTATATTTTTGACTGAAAATGACATACAACTCAATGTAAAGCATGCACGCATTCCGAGTCTAAAGGTTAACTTTTGAAGTTCAAATTTCGGGACAGGATTTCTACTGCTGTATTTCGCAGAGAAGTAAAAAAGAACTGCTCAAATATTTCTTTTACATTCATTTGACAATAAAGCCTTTATAGAAAAGGGTATACGGTTATCTGGTTTCAATTCCGCAAATTTATTTTATTGCATCAAGTGCATCCTGTCTAACGTTGAAACCAGCTGTACATCACTCATCAAATCCCTCCTTGACTTTTTAAAAAACTTTAAAATCAATATTTAATGTAACCTTTCCTGAAACTTGGGAACGACTTTACTGGTCCCCAGAGAAACACGCTTAAATATATAGATAGAACTTACTATCATTTTATACTGTCCTACGAACCCGGTTTAACGATAGAATTCGTTCCGTGTATTGGCAATGTAGCAAAATAAACACGGGCAATAACTTGAACTCAGTGCATTTACTATGATCAATCCAGTTAGTTCCGAATGTCAACATGGCGTGTAAATTTGAAGCGAGAAAAACGTTGAGAAGAGTTGAATTTTCGTCTTTATGTGGATTATTTTTTAGGTTAAAAGGCATACACAATCTCAAAAAGGTTTGTTATGATTAATTTGGTAGTTATTTTCAGTGCAAATCCTTTATACTTCAAAATCATTTCGGAGCAGATCCGCTTTGATTTGCTACATTGCAAGTAAGTGGGACGTATTGTAACTGTGGTGAGGGCTTGTTCCGAGACACAGTTAGATTATTCTAACTATAAAATATAGTGTTGCCGTAGGCGACTTCAATATATATGAGATCGGGTGAGCGATTGAAAAAAAATAAAAAAGTATGAGGTTTTATAATAATTAGTCTTTTGACCCCAAAATTGAATTCTACGGTTAAAAGTTTAGTTTAAAACATCGTTTTAAACGAAGTTTTTAACCTCATTCTCTGAAAAAAGTAATAAATATTGTTTATTCAGTGAAAAGGAGACAAAAAATAATTGTTAACGAAGCGCGTATTGCTGTTTCTTTCGTACTTAGCCATTTCTTTCATGTTTCGTTGAAACCAACGAGATGTCTTCGAAGCTGAATAAAGACTTGCAAATACAGATACAACTGAATTTCTTAATTAAACTAAATAAAAAGAACAAGACACTAACCCTAATCTCTCGGATGGTATGGGAGGACTAACCCAAATCTCCCAGGCGGATGCTAGACTAACCCATGTGCAAGGACTAACCCTAATCTCTCTGATGGATGCGAGACTAACCCTAATCAGTCGAAAACTTATGCAAGGACTAACCCTAATCTTTCAGGTGGGTGCAAGACGAACCCTAACCAGTTGAAAAATGTGAAAAACCAACCCTAATCAGTTGAGTGATGTAAATCTTGCATCATACTAGTGCAATGTGCGCGCGGATCTGGGGACCGGTAAAGTAAAGCCTACCCAAAACTTGTCATCAATAATCTTAAAGATGTATCCTGGGGTACAAAATTAGCATTAGACAGGTTGGGACCAATCTTCCAAACAAGTTATTTATATGACCAGACGAGCTAGAAGTAAATACCCCATACGTAGGGCTGGGCAATAATACTGATATTCCGCTATATTGAGGTATGTTGACAAAAAAATATCATATTGCAATACATTTTTGTAATATTGATATACTGACAAAATGCTTGGACTCGGGAATTCTATCATAAAATATAAAGGAAAGTTGTCAGAAGGTTTGCGATCATGTCAAACAGTAAGACAAAACCTGTTGTATGGGTGTATTTACAGGGATTCTCTACTGCCCCATGTAGGAGGGTTTGTCCTGAGACATAGTTAGAATATTCTAAGTAAAGTAGCATCTGAAAAAAGGCTCAGAACAATCACCAATACAGATTTTAACATAACAATACCCAGTGTTTGAAACTCACCATAAAATTAGCTAGACATGCAGGCCTGACTGCTAGTAAAGTTATCAGTCCTGCTAGTAAAGTTATCAGTCCTGTCAAAGATCTACTAGCCTGAGAAAATAATTCATTGTCTTTTATAAATTTATTTTTAGTGATTGTGTGACTGATACCTTCTTCCTCTTGGATTGTTTAAACTTTGCTACTGGTACTATTAATAAGTTTGAGAGACTCAGGGATATGTCAAATATAAGATATTAGTTATTGAAAATTTTAACACGTTGAGCTGGGCATCGGTGCAAATATATTCACCTCTGCAAAATTTGTGCATCATGGGTGATCTGGCACACACTTATTTCAAACAATGCAATACCAGATAGTTCAGGGGCTGACAGATTTTTAGAGGTATTTACCCTTGGGGGAAATTATTATGCAAGATTCACTTGCCCCTACCAAAATTTTACTGGCCATCTCAATTTCCATTCAGTATCTAAAGTTGTCATTCCAGCTTCGCTCTCACACTTCTGTCAATGCTTGTTATACAAGATTCTTGGAAAATTTGTAAATGATTAAAAGTTGTATTAATAATCGTTTTTAATTATATTTCTTATCGGAAAACATAATGTATTTTAATTTATTATGTCACCTTATTAGGATTTTTTGATAAAGTTTTTAATTTTTTCTATGCAAAATAATTCCCTAAAAACTGAGCAAATAAATCGTTTTTAGGGATGAGAGATTTAATATAAATGATAAATTATCATTTTTATCAATAATGATAGTAATTAATTTCTATTTTAATTTCATGTTTTCACTGTTCAAAACTGTTTAAAACTTGTACAAGAATCTTGTACAACAAATGTTGACAAGAGGTGTTGGGAGCATAGTGGAAGACAACTCTGGATAGAGAATGCTCAATTTCATAATTACAATGAACATGATGATTGACTTACTACCAGTTCCTAAACACAGCCATGTTTTTTTTCACAAAAAATTTATACAAACTGTCTTGTCCTATTTCCCAGTCACTCTTGATACTTGATCAGTGCACAATACATGTATATTCAAATCTCAGGCTTGTTTTCTCAGAATCATAATTGTAATATTTCCGTAAAGTTTGTGAGAGCTTTCCATAAACTCACTGTGACTGCAGAATTTACAGATGTTTTGTGTAAAGGTCCCAGGTAGCTGTTACATGTTTATCTTTATTTGCATGTTTTATTAATTACCGGTATTTCTAAATAAAATGTAAATCTGTGTATTTTCTTGTAGAACTCCAAAAGAAGAAATCAAAGTAGTGATACATGAGGTACTATTTACATCACATACTATGAACAGCTGTTATACTAGTGTAGACTGACAGTAATTATCTGTTATTAAATTGTACAAGCCTGAAATATTTGTAATTCTAGTCTAGTATACTGCATATTTCTCTCAATAAATATTTTAACAAAGTCAATGTACCAAATAATAAAGAGGTTATAACCAATCTGTAGTAACTTATTTTACATTAGAGAAAGGAATTTTCTCTACATATATAATTTATTTTGAATTTTATCCTTCTCAGTTCTCAGTTAGGCCAAAAAAAATAATAGTCTTGTTTCCTGCTACCAGCCTGAAAAAAATAGGGTCGGTAGGTAGGAAAATTATTTTATTTTATATTTTTATTTTTTTTCGGACAGCATTTTTTGGATATGAACTAATACAAGATAAAATTAAACATGTCACAGGTCAATATTGTCTTTTAAAATTGAACTCCATGTCTTTTTATGCACAACTCAAGTGGTATTTTATGAAAGTCAATATTTAAAACAAGAATTTCATGAAATGCTTGTTTTGTGCTAACACGAAAACTGATTACGGTGACAGAACGATGAAATTCCGGAAATTCTCAATTTTTTTTCTTCCAAAACTTAAAAAAAACTTTAGGGTCGGGTGCAAAAAAATAGGGTAGGTTGGGTAGCAGGAAACAAGACTATTATTTTTTTTGGCCTTATCTTTTGATATATCTGTGTAAATCAGTGGTAGAATTAAACACTACGAATGTATTGCATTATACATTTGCTTCCTCAGCCACTCTATACACTTCCTTAGTGAGGTTGGTTTACATCTGATTCTATTATTTCTTTTAATTCTAGTCTGGGTCAACTAAAAAAGAACGGGCCGCAGTAGATGCTGTTTTCTTCAAGTAAGTACCACAATGTTTAGTATGAGTCAGTGTCTAGCTGACCTGTTTAACAAACCTTATAATAATAAAACTTATAATAATCCTATGTTATAATAAGACTTATAATAATCCTTAGTTATAACAAGCCTATAATGATCCTATGTTATTGTAGGAGGCTGCTGAACATCCTGAAAATTCTTATTCCTGGCTGGTTTGTTTCAGAGGTATGTGGAAAAAAACATTAGAACTGCTTATTAAACTATGGACAACCATTTACAGAATCAGTCAATCAACCAAACAGTGTATAAATATATTCCTGTATTTTTATGCCCCCGGATCAAAAGATTCTGGGGGTATATTATTTTTGTCCTGTCTGTCTGTTTGTCTGTCTGTCTTTTGTCAACTTTAACCTTACCCATAACTTTTGATTGGTCGGAGCTATGACTTTCATATTTCACATGTGTATTCCTTGTGACAAGACCTTTCTTTGGGTACCATCATATTTGACCTTTTGACCTTGACCTTGGAGTTTGACCCACTTTTGCAAAATTTTATGAGACTTTAACCGTCGCCATAACTTCTGAACAGTTGGTACTTGAGGTTTCAAACTTCACATGTGTATTCTTTGTGACAAGGCCTTCCTTTGGATACCAGCAACTTAGACCTTTTGACCTTGACCTTGGAGTTTGACCTACTTTTGAAAAACTTAAACCTTGGCCATAACTTATGAACAGTTGGTGCTTGGGGTTTCAAACTTCACATGTGTATTCCTTGTGACAAGACCTTCCTCTTGATATCAAACTCTTTGACCTTGACCTAGGAGTTTGACCTACTTTTGAAAAACTTTAACCTTGGCCATAACTTTTGAACAGTTGGTGCTTGGGGTTTCAAACTTCACATGTGTATTCCTTTTGACAAGCCCTTCCTCTTAATATCAAACTCTTTGACCTTGACCTAGGAGTTTGACCTACTTTTACTTTAACCTTGGCCATAACTTTTGAATGGTTGATGCTAGGGCTTTCATACTTCCATACATGGTATCTGTTACTGGTAGCTGTCTCTCTATAAATGTATTGCTGTAATTTGTAGACATGGTATCTGTTACTGCTAGCCTCCATCTATAAATGTATTGTTGTAAATTGTAGACATGGTATCTATTACTGGTAGCTATCTCTCTATAAATGTATTGCTGTAATTTGTAGACATGGTATCTGTTACTGGTAGCTGTCTCTCTATAAATGTATTGCTGTAATTTGTAGACATGGTATCTGTTACTGGTAGCTGTCTATAAATGTATTACTGTAATTTGTAGACATGGTATCTATTGCTGGTAGCTGTCTCTCTATAAATGTATTACTGTAATTTGTAGACATGGTATATATTACTGGTAGCTGTCCCTTTATAAATGTATTGCTGTAATTTGTAGACATGGTATCTGTTACTGGTAGCTGCCTCTCTATAAAAGTATTGCTGTAATTTGTGGACATGGTATTTGTTACTGGTAGCTGTCACTCTATAAATGTATTGTTGTAATTTGTAGACATGGTATCTGTTACTGGGCTGTCTCTCTATAAATGTATTACTGTAATTTGTAGACATGGTATCTGTTATTGGTAGCTGCCTCGCTTATCAGCAGGACCTATGCAGATGTGTGGATGATACAAAATGGTACAGCCATAGAAAGGTAGAGGATTCGATAGCTTTATTAATTGTTGTGGATATTTCTCAGTTCACCAAAAGGAAAAAAAGTAGAAAAAAAATTGTAAAGTATGAAAGTTTAACATTTGTACATAACCGTTGATTAAACATTTGATTTGTTTACAGTGCAATCATTGGTCGGGATATGTCATTATTTAAAGTCCATTTATTCAAGTTCATATATGCCATGCCAGCAGTAAGTATCCTTTTGTGTCTTTCTTAAAGATTATTTTGTCAGGAAATCAATTAGGAATAACCATTTAACCTCTGTATAAGGCTTTTTAGGAACCCTTAGATGAAGGCCTAAGCCATTCTGATCAAGTTCGTCTCTTAGACTTTTTAGCTCACCTGAGCCAAAGGCTGAAGTAAGTTTTTCTTATAAAATTTGTCTGTTGTCTGTCGGCATTGTCATTGTTGTAAACTTTTAACAATTTCATCTTTCCTCCAGAACCACTGGGCCAATTTCAACCAACCTTGCCAAAGAGCGTTCTTGGGTGAAGGAGATTCAAAGTATTACAAATGAAGAGCCATGCCTTCTTCCAAGGGGAGATAATTATGAATTAGTGAAAATTTTTTGGGCATCTTTTAAAAATCTTCTCAACAACCACTGGGTCAAAAAAAGCTAAATCTTGTATGAAAGCTTCACCCTTTAGAGTTAATTCAAGTTCGTTCAAATCGCACCTCCTGGGGTAGAGTGGGACCACATCAGGGGATCAAAGTTTTACATAGAAATATATAAGTAAGGGTATATATAGGAAAAAATCATTAAAAATCTCAAGAAGAGACCAACCAGGATTAATAGTCATAGATGGAAGCATCTTCAGATAGTATAGAAGAGCCATGGGAGTTAGGGTTGGACAGAAAATAGATTCAAATTTTACATAATGCATGTGTACAGGAAAAAAATCCTTTCTAGAAAAACAGGGCCATGTTGATCATATTGATACTGAAGCATCCCAATGTTGTTTGGTTTAAATTTTTTTATTAAATCATTGCTCTCTTAGGGCTAGATTTTGGTTCAAAATATGGAGTCAAATTTTTTTTATGAAATTAAAGGGGGAAATCAAAAGAAAAAAATCAGTTGATGAAGAACAGCAGGGTCAAAGTGACTCAGGTGAGCATTGTGACCCATGGGCCTACGCATGTTTGGTAAGGGGTTCAAATTGTACAAATGGAGGGTCACACACTTTTTCCAGGGAAGATAATAAAGAAAATATGGCAAAGTCATTTAAAAATCTTTTTCTTAAGATCAATTGGACCAGAAAAGTCAAAACTAAATCTTTTGTACTAGTGTGTTTGAGGTTTGCTCAAGACATGGCCACTGGGACTAGACTGTTGCTGCAAAAGTTTGTCAAAGTTTTAAAAAAGGAGAAGGGGAATATAATTTATATGTATATATTTATTTTGTTGATGGTTATACATGTATTTTGTAATATGTATTTTATTTTCAATTTCAGATCTCTATCATAAACAATTGTTTAAAGGTTTGTGCTTTTCAAGTACTTAGAGATTTTATTGTAATTGAAGAGAGCTGAATTTTTTCTTAGATAATTGCTGAATTATAAAGTCATTGGATAGCAGTAAAGCTGCTTGGTTATAAATGTGCATGTATATTTTGTCATACCCTTAGTTTTTCCCTGCTTTCACTGAGAGTGGGGGATATTAATTCCAGTGTGTTTGTGTCCATCTTGCTGCCTGTCTGTGAAACACTTTCATTTCTGTATGATATTTCAAAAAGCCTTTTGGCTTTTGCAATGAAATTTGATATCTCTTCTCCCTATGACCTAAAGAAGACCCCTATTAAATTAAGATCAGTAGGTCAAAGTTCAAGGTCAGAAATTCATACAACACAAAAGTTGTGTCCAGATGATAATTTTAGTTTTTATTGAGCTTTTTTCAATGAAAATTTATAACTATCAATAATTAAAAGAAAACCTTTTTGATTTTGAGGTCAAAAGGTCAAAGGCAAGGTCAAATTCATACAATGCAAAAAATGGTTTGTGTCAGAGGTTTGTTATTTATGTTGAAATTACATTATTGATATTTCAGTATGGATTAAATGAACTGAAACTGAAGTTCCGTATCAGACTCACAAAGCACCTGTATGATAGATACCTAAGGTAATTCTGTGTCTATGTTGTTGGATTGAGAGAGTATCTATGAATTATCTAGTTCTTCTGTGCTGAGATTGGTGTTGTCTTCCTTGCAGGGGCTTTACTTACTATAAAATGAGTAACCTGGATAACCGGATCGCCAATGCTGATCAGCTGTTAACTCAGGATGTGGACAAATTTTGTGACTCAGTGGCTGAGCTGTACTCAAATCTCAGCAAGGTTAGACTCTTATTTTATTGATTTACAGAATGTTAGAAATTTTTTTAGCCACTTTGACTTTCATGAAGGTTTCATTAACTTTTTTTCAGCCTCTTTTAGATGTAGTTCTGTACACAGCCAAATTAACAGGAAGTATAGGAGCTCAGGTATGTCTTCATAATGTATATCAATAAGATTCCAGCTGAGTTTTTGCCTTTTAGTGTGTTTTTTTGCTCTTATCCATTGTGATCATGCTTTCCACAGGGCTTATTTAACATTTACGGTAGTAAATGTGCCATAAGAAACTCCCAAAAAATTCTTTGGGTAAAAACAGATGATATCCTTTTCTTATGATTACTTGCATTTATCTTTACCATACTAGTGAATAATGAATCTGCATCCAACTGCAGTAGGAAATAAAGATAATTAGACCTTTGATTTCTAAAAGCATTGGTTATTTGATCACGGTATGTAATTTGATGATCATACTATTAAATCTATTTTATTTCAGGGACCAGCTGTCATGCTTGGATATCTAGTTATATCTGGTCTTATACTAACGAGGTAAGTAAATGAAGGTTACATGTGTGTACAATTTATTTTGTAGTGTATGTTGTGTTCAAGCCTTGGAACAAATTAAATCTTTAATTTTAATACAGAGTTCGACGACCAATAGGAAAATTGACCGTTCAGGAACAGAAGCTTGAGGGAGAGTACAGATATGTCAACTCAAGACTCATCACTAACAGGTAATTAGTTAACTGATCACTAACAGGTAATTAGTTAACTGATCACTAACAGTAATTAGTTAACTGGTCAGAGAGAGTACAGATATGTCAACTCAAGATTCATCACTAACAGGTAATAAGTTAACTGATAACCTACTGTGGCTGTAGTGATCTATTGTGACAAGATACAAAATAAAAGTGCAAACTATGCTTAAAATCGGTAACATTTAGAAAATTATCAATATGGGAAAGAGCAAATACTCAAAGTAATTAGGGGATTTAGGGCCCCGCAAGGATTTGCGGGTGCCCTATAGTAATCTGTCTGTCTGTCTGTCCATCTGTCTAGCTGTCTGTCTGTCTGTCTGTCTGTCCATCTGTCATTCTTCCGTCCACAAATTTTCTGTTTTTTTCTAATAACTTTTTTTAGGGTTGACCAATTAAGTTCAAATATGGTATGTTGGTTGAATAGGCAGTTAGACATATTTTAATGCTAAGTTTGGTTCTCAATGTCATCCGGTTTGGAGCTGGGGTGGTGGGGTGTATTCCTTAACTTTATATAAGAGTGAATGGGCAAAGAGAGATATCTGCTGAAAATGTTCCTATTGTAAACTATGAAAGGCTGCAATGAGTCTCTTGGGATTAATTAACTTTCCTCTTGAAGAAAATCCAAAGCATTTATCTTTATCTGCCACATTGATATTAATTAACACCTCTGTCTGCAAATGAAGTTTGTTTTGAAGTTAAGGTCAGTTCTGAATGCTGTTTACATTCTCTGAAATGTGGATTTAAATAATGTTCATACTTTATTTTGGTAAAATACACAATGAGTTATTATTTAATTGAATTCTAAAAACAAGATATAGATAAAGATATCTTTTTTATAATTATTTTTTTTTCTTTTTTCTGCCTTATGTAAATTCAAGCATACTATTTATTTTAACAGGTATTCAGATAATAACCTCATTCTGTCATTGCTGAAAAAGTTCTTATTGTAAACTTAGAAGAAAAGGTTGAGAGAGCAGTATAATTAATCCTGTGGGTTTGATTATCTTGCTGGTTTGCAAAATATTTTAGAGGGTTATCTTTCTGTCACTTTAAGATTAATTAACACCTTTGTCTGCAACTGATATTTGTTTTGGAGTTAAGGTCAAGCCTGGGTGATATTTGCATTCACTGAAGGCTGGCATTTTAGAAAACACATGCTTCATTCATTTTTAAATATACATTTAATTGAGTTATTATAGATATGATGTTTTTTACTGCCTTATGTAAATACAAGGACACTATTTACAGATTGTTGGATATTTAGCAGTTGCTGTTGCTTATTCTTTATATATTTTGAAATTTTTTGGAATCAAGTAAAATTCTCATCCCCTAATCTGCACCCTTATATTTCTAACCCTCGGCAGGGCCCTTGCTGACTGGTCAGATTTCTAGTTTTTTCTATTTCTAAAGGGTTTTGGCAATTGAAGTGTAATTCGTTATAAAAACATATGAGGCACATGTTGACTCATTAAAAAAAAATTATGGAAGCTAAATTACAGATATCTTGAACACCCAAATAACTTAAAGTTTTTTCAAGGTCTTATCAAATTCATGATAACAAGGTTTGACTGTATCAGTTGATCAAGTATTACACTAATCATTAACAGGTCTTCTGAAAAGTCTCATTGCTAATAGCAAATTAGTTGCCTAATGGCTTATCAGGATATCTATCATTGACAAGTTATTAGTTAATACACAAACTATCCTAACTAACAAATGATAAGATAATAAATTTACATGCTAGTTACAAGTTGATACATTTCTAACAGAACATAAAATATCACTTTTTTCATGACTTAACCAGTATTATTTTAAATCTCCTGAAATGCTTAAGGTATGTTTACAGTGTATAGCGATTACCTTATAATTTTCATTATTATACACATGTAATATACAGAATCTTTCAGCAACTATCTTTACCTTGAAAGAATTAGATCATTGTTTGATTTTAAGGTTATGTCAATTTTTTTTCTTTTAAGTGAAGAAATTGCTTTTTACCAGGGGAATCGTCGAGAACAAACCATAATACTAGCAACATTTAATAAACTAGTAAGTTGATTTGAGAAAATATGCACATCTGTTCATATATAAGGTAATTCTGTTCCAAATGTTAATATGTGTATGAATGTGAATGAATATGTAAATAAGCTTGTTTAAATATTTTGTGTTGTGGGTTTTTAGCTCTTCTGAGCCAAAGGCTCAAAGAGCTAATGCTATGGCCATTTGTACGGTGTGTGTAAACTTTTTAGAATATGGGCCATAACTCAAGAACCCCTTGGCCAATTATTGTCAAATTTGTCACAGGGTATCCTTGGCCCAAGGGCTCCCTTTTGTACTAAAACTAGGGTTGTGACCCTTCAACAAGGAGAGATAATTAGGAAAATAGAAACAAAAGTACTGGTTGCTAAAAAATCTTCTTCTCAAGAACCACTGGGCAGATTATCACCAAACTTATACAAAAGGATGAGGATATGTTGTAGATTAAAATTTGCACGGGATTTACCCTGGGGCAAAGGGCGTGGTCTCAAGGTCACTTCAAAGTTGACTAAAAACTACATTTTATTAAAATGTTGATATTTTGCTTACTATAAGGACTAGGATCATCAAATATTGTCAGTTGATGCATCTAAGGACCTCATATCATGTTGACTCAAAAGTAGGTCACGATGACCTACTTTTAAAATTTTACAGCCATTCTTTTTCAAAATGATTTAGAGGCATATTTTGAACAATTTAAGGCCTATGATCATCAAACTTTGTCAGTTGATGTATCTTGGGTCCTCGAAGTACATCAACTAAAAAGTAGGTCACCTTGACCTACTTTTTGAATTTTATGGCTTATCTTCTTTAAAACAATTAAAGGGGGAGAAAATAAGCACCGCCTTCAAATTTACCTGGTCTGTGAACCCCTGTCAATCAGATGAAACTGAGCCTGAGATTGGATACTGAAATTTGATTGACAATTTGTTACCAGCCTTTGTGTATATCTTGTATACCTTGGCTGGAAATTGTACCAATCATTGAACTAACATGTAGTCTTTTGATGTCTACCGTATATATAACATCGGGATAAAGAAGGAGCCAGAGCTGATATTTTATTTTTACTTTATGATTAAGAAATGAGCTATATATATAATCAGTCTGTCAAATAATTAAATAAATGAAAAGAAAAATCAGTCATATCTATTAACATTGTAATTAAGAAAGGGGGGGGGGGGAGGGGTCATTTCGAGATACAATCTATAATTGATTCAGTATATTATCAAAATTTACACGTACATCTACTTTACTTTTGAAATAGAAAATACCGAACTGCATTGGAAGCATCATGTAATTTCATAAAATAATAATTCCTTTTTATAATTATGAGATAGACATATTGTCCAAGTAAAAATTCATAAGACAAGAGTAATATTTCTTCGAGACATGGTGATGAAAGTTACGGTAAAATGACGAGTTTTAAAGAGAAATAAGCACTATTATAAAAGCAGTTTTTGCATTATTGTACATGTTATGTTTAGAATTAGTTTACGGATCCTGAAGAAGAAAAGCAGGAGAATGATTAAATTACCGATTCGTCAACCTGTCGAAAAAACAATGCCATGGCCATTTTTACGAAACATGCGTTATGGGGAAATCACGTAGAAATTATATTAAGAAATATTATTTATTATATATTTTATACAAAATTTAGCCTTCAATCTTCAAACAGGATTTTTAAGTTTAAGAGACATTCAGGACCGCGCTTTTTTTTTCTACTTTCGTTTTGTGAGAGAGACTATTTCCGTGTCGCCAGCTTACAACCCAGTATTTTGGAACATTTGAAATTTATTAACACACAAAATAATACTAAAATTGTCTTCTTTATTCAAACATGTTTTGAAAAAAAAGAATTGAACTATAGGAATCAGTCTACAACAAAAATTTATCATGTTTTATTTCATAAATTTAACGATGAACATTTCGATTTACCAACACGCGAAGTTTTACCAAGTCTTAGGAAAACATTTACAGGTAATATACATGTAACATCCTATAGGTAGGTATACACAATCCAGCCTGGTTCCCTCAGGGCTTCACAGCCACTTCAATTAAGCTCCACCCCACACCAAACTTACCTGAGGAAAACCGACCAGTTGAAAACCTCGGCCTTTAAGGGCATTAATTCGAATACCGAGAGGTTTAGAATCATTAAATCTTGCAAGATGATGCATCTTGGGGCCATAAAACATATTTATTAAAAAGTAGGTTACAGTGACCTACTTTTTGAACTGTGCAGGCATTGGATTTGAAAGTGTTTGAGGCATAATTTGGACATTTTAAGGCCTATGATCATAAAACTTTGTAAGTTGATGCATCTTGGGTCCTTAAAAAACGTCAATTGAAAAGTAGATCACCGTGACCTACTTTTCAATTTATATGACTATAATTGAATATTTCAGGTACTAATTGGCTTAGAATCATCAAACTTTGTAAGTTGATGCATCTTGGGTTTTCGGAGTAGGTCAACTGAAAAGTAGGTCACCATGACCTACTTTTGAAAATTTATGGCTTTAATTAAATATTTCAGGTACTAATTGGCTTAGAATCATCAAACTTTGTCAGTTGATGCATCTTGGGTCTTCTGAGTAGGTCGACTGAAAAGTAGGTCACCATGACCTACTTTTGAAAATTTATGGCTTTAATTAAATATTTCAGGTACTAATTGGCTAAGAATCATCAAACTTTGTCAGTTGATGCATCTTGGGTCCCTGGACTACAACAACTGAAAAGTAGGTCACCATGACCCACTTTTGAAAATTTATGGCTTTAATTAAATATTTCAAGTACTTATTGGCTTAGAATCATCAAACTTTGTCAGTTGATGCGTCTTGGGTCCTCAAAGTACAACAACTGAAAAGTAGGTCACCATGACCTACTTTTGAAAATTTATGGCTTTAATTAAATATTTCAAGTACTTATTGGCTTAGAATCATCAAACTTTGTCAGTTGATGCGTCTTGGGTCCTCGAAGTACAACAACTGAAAAGTAGGTCACCGTGACCTACTTTTGAAAATTTATGGTTATAAATTTAAAAAATATTTTAGGTGTTAATTGGCTTAGAATCATCAAATTGTTGATGGGTCCTCAGAGAATGACAAGTGATAAGTAGGTCACCTGACCAACTCTCAGGTACTAGTTGGCTTAGAATCATCTTGGGTTCTCAGAGTGTAAATTGGAATTTCAAGGGTTTATCTAAATATACAGGATACTTAGAGACTTCAAATAGAAGTGATAGGTTGTACAGTTTATCAGAAGAGCGATTCAAGGCCCTTGGGCCTCTTGTTTTTTTTTTTTTAAATTTTTATTTAAATATTATTTTGTTACCAGCTCTTCAAATGTAAAATTAATGATGTAATTGTGTTTTGTAGGTAACACATTTAAAAGATTTCATCTTTTTCCGATTGCAAATGGGATTTGTAGACAACATTATTGCCAAATGTAAGTATGCCGAAGTATTTTTACGTTAAGAATATAAACAGTGCATAAGTGATTTATATTCTTCAGCTGACTACAAACCTCCTTGCAACCATTGTTACATGCATATATCTGTTTCAGACATTGCTACTGTATTTGGTTACCTGGTGGTCAGTCGACCTTTCCTTGACCTTGCCCATCCACGGCATCTAAACAGCTCACACAGTGAGAGACTCGAGGTTTGTGGTTATCTCCCTTAAAGTCCTTACTCTGAATTTTATCTTTTACAATAAATTCAAATTTTAAATTGTTTACCAAAGTTACATGTAATTGTCAGTTTGGAAAATGAAAAAAGTATGAAATGTTTTTATATATTCCACAACTTGGTATTGACCATTATAATCTGTTATAGGTTAAATTAAGAAATAAATCATAAAGGCATGTTCTGTAGGATTACTACAAGAGTGGTAGAATGTTAGTACGGATGGCAGAAGCTATTGGTCGAATTGTATTAGCAGGACGAGAGATGACCAGACTGGCTGGGTAAGTTTGCCCTTCACAATCGTCAGTAAACTTTGACATTATCACCATGTGAAAATCAAATGATATTATTTTCATATATGAATTTTAGCTGTATAAACTAGGTTTTTTAGGGCACTTTTGAAGTAGGAAAAAAATATAAGTTTTTTTTTTCTCATGTTTTTTTTTTTTAAATTTTACTTTATTTTAAATTGTAATGAATCTTCTGTGTTGATTTTAATGTAAACTCTGTGTTGTGTTTCAGGTTTACTGCTCGTATCACAGAATTGATCAAGGTACTGGACGACATCAGCAGGGGGCATTATGAAAGGACAATGGTGTCTGATCAGAATGGAGGTAATCAGTTAGGCCAAAAAATTTGATGTCCTGGATTCTTGGCAAACTGTGAAAATTAATTCAATTTTTTTTTAAATATCAGTCCTGTCTCTTTGTGAAATCAAATTGTTTAAAACATTGCAGATTACACATGCATGAAATAACTATAGAAATTTTTCAACTCTTTTAGGATGGGATCAGTTCATATTGGTTATAATCAGACACAGGCATGCCAATTTAACTCAGACATCTCTGGTTTGTTTACTAGTATATAATGTGTTTAATACTTTAACATGTATATGATGATTACAGGAAAAGAGAAAGTTTCCAGCAATTTCAAACCAGGTGATGGGAAAATCATCATCAAAGATTATATCATTAAGTAAGTTGTATAGAATTATTGTAATAGTAATTGTACCATCACCAATGGTTTTGATGTTAATTCAACATTTTTAGCTCACCTGAGCCAAAGGTTCAAGTGAACTTTTCTGATCGAGATTTGTCCATTGTCTGTTGTTGTCATCGTCATAAACTTTTTACTTTTTCATCTTCTTCTCAAGATCCACTGGGTCAATTTCAACCAAACTTGCCACAAAGCATTCTTAGGTAAAGGGGGTTCAAGTTTCCTCAAATGAAGGGCCACACCCTTTCAAGAGGAGATAATTCAGGAATAATGAAAATTTGGTGGCATCTTTTAAAAATCTTCCTCTCAGAAACCACTGGGCCATAAAAATTTCAAACTTATAGGAAACCTTCTTTACATAGTGTAGATTCAATTTTGTTCAAATGATGACCCACAGGGTAGGGTGGGACCACAGTGGGGGATCAAAGTTTAGCTTTGGAATAATAGGAAAAAATCTTTTAAAAATCTTCTTCTCAAGAACAGCAAAGCCATGACTAGTCATACTGATGTGGAAGCATCCTCAGATAGTTTAGATTCAAATTTGTTCAAATGATGAACCCCGGGGGGTAGACTGGGGCCACAATAGGGATCAAAGTTTTACTTAAGGTCAAGATCTAGTAAATGATTTTAGACTGCCTTTTGATGCTAGATCCATTATGACGTCATAATCAAATTAAACTTTCTTTTTCCCGTACTTTACAGCTGTGAAAGAATTATGTAGAAAATAAAGTACTTTTCTGGAATTCAATTTGAAATCATGTGAAAAGTAATCCCGAAAGCTATATTCAATTTAATATTATTTTAAAGAAGAGGTATGAACATACTAAATACCGTTTTCTGAGAGACTGTAGGCAATCTGGAATCATTTAATTTGTCTGATATGGAAAAAACTCCCATATTCATGACTGATTTTCTTAATTTTTCATTGAAAATGAAAGTTTAAGATATGATTTTTCGTCTTGTTTACCTACAAATTATGCCCCGAAACATCTTATTTGACCAAGCTATACTTATAAAGCTTCATTTAGGGAATTTATTTCTCAAATTTGAGAAATCTGCAGGCTCCTTTTATTTACTAGATCTTGACCTTAAAATTTATAAGGTGTAAACATGGTTGGGGCAGTTTATGCTTTATAAATCACAAAGCGGTTTAAAAAAAAGCATAAACTGTTCCAACACAGTTTATACTGTATAAATTGGGTAGCTTTTAAATTTATTCCTTATGATTTAATTTTCATTTATTTAGCGTAAGAAAATAAGATGATTGTCCTTAAAAATGACTTCAAATTGTACTAATTTTAAATGTAACATGAGGTGGATCGATACGTTTCTGACGCAAGTCATTGTGACATAGTTAACACAATTTATACGATATATAGTAAATTTTTTATCCAATCAAATGGTGCATTATAATCAGAATTATATTGGAGTAAATAGGAAAAAATCTTTAAAAATCTTTTTCTCAAGAACAGCAGAGCCATGATTAGTCATATTGATATGGAAGCATCCTCAGGTAGTTTAGATTCATTCAAGTTTGTTCATATGATAACCCCTGAGGATAAGGTGGGACTTCAATGGGGGATCAAAATTTTGCATAGGAATATATAAGGAAAAAACTTTAAAAATCTTCTCAAGAATAGAAAAGCTGTTTAGTCTTATTGATATTAATATGGAAGCATCCTCAGGTAGTGTAGATTCAAGTTTGTTTAAATCTTGACCCCCCCCCCCCCCCCCCAAGGGATAGGAAGTGGCCACAATGAGGGATCAAATTTTCATTAAGGAGTATATAGGGAAAAATCTTTAAAAAATCTTCTGTTCAAGAGCAGCAAAGCCATTAGTTATATTGATATGGAAGCATTTTCAGACTGTGTGAAATTCAAGTTTGCCAACCCCAACTCCCCTTTTATGTAAACTTTTCAATATGAACTTATTTGTGTTTATTTTATAGCCTATGTGCTCTGGTGAGCAATGTGGCCCATGGGCCTATTGTTTATCTTTTTTTTATCAGATTTGATAAAGTTCCACTGGTGACTCCCAATGGAGATGTTCTTCTACAGGAGATGAGTTTTGAGGTGAGCAAGATTATTTTTTTTAATTGTTTTTAATACATATAGTACATTATCTTATAAATTCATGTCTTGCCAAAAATATCAGATACATATTGATTTGTAACTGTTTTTTAATTAAGGAATGAATTTAATAGCTACCCAATTTATATGGTATAAACTGCATTAGGGCACTTTACGCTTTATAAACCGTAACACGTAAACTTCCAACCCAGTTTATACCATATAAATTGGGTAGCTTTTTAATTCATTCCTTATAATTTCATTCGTTTAGTGTAAGAAAAAAAAAGATGATTGTTCTTAAAAATGACTTCAAATCGTACAAAATTTAAATGTAACGTCAGGCAGATCAATACCTTTTTGACGCAAGTCATTGTGACATAGCAATCCAATTTATACCATATAAAGTGATTTTTTTATCCAATCAAATATCTGTTATAACCAGAATTTAATTATTATGAACTGCATTCCAGGTGAAATCTGGAGAAAATGTGCTTGTTTGTGGACCAAATGGCTGTGGCAAGAGCTCTCTATTCCGAGTTTTGGGAGAAGTAATATAAACAATCTTTAATATTATACTTTCATGTAAATTAGTTCAATCTGATTCGTCGAGAAACATTTGTTAAAAATTACTATTACCCACTGAATGATGAAGCCACACCCACCAATGTAGCAACAGTCAACATTGCTTGACAACGGGTGATATTCCAAAAAATAGTGACTGCGCAGAACTTATGCGTGCAAGGTTTACTGTTATATGTATTTGTATAAAACATTCAGTATAATATAATAAATATTGCATGTAGCTGAGTGTAACATTGAAAATTTTCACCCTTCGAAAACCATTGTCAACCTCGGCTGTGCCTCGGTTGACAATGGTTTTCTTGGGGTGAACATTTTCAATGTTACACTCAACTACATGCAATATTTATATAATGATATCAATTTTTGAAAGCCATCTTTTATTGAAGTCCAATTCAACAGCCTGGAAACATAAACATAACAAATATGAAACTCTTTCAGTTATGGCCGCTATTTGGAGGAACTTTGACAAAGCCAGAAAAGGGGAAGCTTTTTTATGTTCCACAGGTAACTGTTTAATACCTAGGTGGAATCTTACCTGGCTTAGCTAGATCAACTTGACACATTTCAAAGGAGGATTAGTAACAAATCATATATATATATATAGCTGGTTAATGTTACCTAGAACCAATTATCATTAAATTTTATGCATTCTATTCTCATGTGTGAATCTCTTTTGTCTTGTCATCATGTTGTTGATCATGTCAAATTTCAAACACAGTGTTGCTCCATAGATAATACAAACATTTGAAATTCTTTATAGTAAAGTAATGCTTAATGTATTAAATTGACCTTATATACATGTATATATAAGGTACATGGGTAATATGACGTATTTTTAGCGGCCGTATATGACAGTGGGCACACTGAGGGATCAGGTCATCTATCCGGATTCGCATGAGGAACAAATCAAGAAGGGAACTAAAGACTCCGATCTCCTGGAAATACTCAACAAGGTCAAATCATTCTGGTTGGTCTGAGAAGTCTTTTTGATTCTCTTGTATTATTATTGTGGTTATTTTAAAACAATATTTGTTTCTGTTGACAGGTCCAGTTGGGATACATTCTAGAGAGAGAAGGGGGATGGAACTCTGTACAGGTAATGAGGGGAGGCTACTCAGTTCAGAAACTCATGTGTTGTAATATTAGATTCATGTTATGGCAATTTTTTTTTTTTAAGGATTGGATGGATGTCCTCAGTGGAGGAGAAAAACAACGAATTGCTGTAAGTACAAAGGGTGTCTGGTAAATGTTTTGCATTTGTATTTTTGCTACAATTCTGAAAACTGCAGCAGGAAAATTTTATTTTTTATCCCTATTAAAGCGTACATATCAAAATAAGTGATACTCATGTATATTGGTAGAAATTTCATCAAGATAGAATCAAGAAAGATTCAAAACTAGATGAATTCTTAGATGAGGACAGACATTTTTTTCCACTAGTAGCAGAAAAATTCCAATCTTAAATAGCATTATGTAATACCTGGTAGTTGTTTTATGTTTTCAGATGGCTCGACTGTTTTATCACCGCCCTCAGTTTGCCATTTTGGATGAGTGTACGAGTGCCGTCAGTGTAGATGTAGAAGGATATATGTACCAGTACTGTAAAGAGGTAACAGATATACAGAATTTTGTCTCAAACTGCTTCAGTCAAATGTGTTTTAATGTTTCAGATTTTAAAGCATGCAGCAGATTACTAACTTATCTAAGCTGAGGATCTTGAGAATTTTTGTTATACAGTTTGTCTTTTCAGGTCACTTGAGTCACTCTGATGACCTATTGCCATCTGTTTTCATCCATTATCGTGCGTCCTGTGTTAACATTTGAACATTTTCAGCTTCTTCTCTGAAGCTGCTGAACCAATTTCAGCCAATTTTAGCAGTTGGGATCTATGGGTAAAGAGGAACAAAAATTGTGAATTTCATGATCCCTGCCCTGTAGCAACCTCTAATGATAAAACGCCGCTTAATGATACAAATATCATTAAGCGTTGCAATTGCAACGCTTAATGCCATAAATTATTGCATTAATAGCTGACATTCTCAACCGCTAATGCTAAATCGCCGCTTAATGATAGAATTATATCATTAAGGTCAGACGATACGTTCCTCAAATATCTGTTTTGTATATCTTTGTATTGTGTGGAAAATATTCAAAATTTTAATTACCTTCTGATTTCTAAACTGGTTTCTAATTGTCTTTAAAAAATTGAAACACTTAAAAATGTGTTATTGACTAATTAAGTTTGTTCCAAAGGGATTTCATAGGAAACAACATCCTCCTGTATCTTGCACAAATGCCTGGTAAGGTACCTCAATTTTTTGCGAGTAAACATATTAAAGTAGCAATACTTCAAAGTCGAAATCTTAGAAAAAATTATATATTATTGAGGAACGTATCGTCTGTCCTTAAGCGTCACAAATGCAGAGCAACACTGACGCTTAATGAAACAAGCAAATATCGACATAATCGACGACTAATGATACACACTAGTGTATCATTAAGCGTTGCAGTTGCAACCTTTAATGATATAAAATTTAGAAATGGCTTGCAATATCTAAGAGAAACACACATCCACCTTCCTGAACAATGAGATATCACTTACCAAAACATTTATATATGCCCTTGTGCTATATAAATGGTAATTATTGGAGTTTTACTATGTTTTCTAGCTAGTCAAGGGAACTTCTTTAAGCTCCGGATGTTTAAAAGACAGACAGTCAGATAGCTGAGAGAAAGAGATACAAATTAACGAGATAAAGAAAATGATATTCAAATCCTTTTAAAAGAACCAATTCTTTTTTACTGAAAATACAGAAACAAGCAAATTCCTTTTAATTTGATACAACGGTTTGAATAGTCAACCTAAAATGTATATTATATATTTGAATATTTTTTATCGAAACTTTGTATTTTAGATTTGATACAGCTTAACACATGTCACTGTTAACGTTTCTGATATTCATATCGAGAAATAAATTTATAATTTTCACTATTGTATTTTTAATCTGCTCCATTTCTCCAAATTTGGAAAAAGAAAGACATCAATATTGACAACTTATGTTTAAGGATACATAACACAAAAAAATACAATGTAATACATTGAATAATATATATTGTTTTGAGATAATGTTGTGCAAGAGGAAATATTTGCGAAACAATGTAAATATTGAAGAATACAGTGTATAAATTCCACTTTTTCTGGGACTAAAAATAATGGACCCGAAGCGAAATTAATAATCCTAATCCTATAAAATAAATGTATTCTTTGTCCATTTCATACTCCGTGTGTGTGGTACGCATTGTAATCTTTTATTGTGTGTCATACCAATCCATCCTTATGCTAATTTTCACTATTGTATTTTTAATCTGCTCCATTTCTCCAAATTTGGAAAAAGAAAGACATCAATATTGACAACTTATGTTTAAGGATACATAACACAAAAAAATACAATGTAATACATTGAATAATATATATTGTTTTGAGATAATGTTGTGCAAGAGGAAATATTTGCGAAACAATGTAAATATTGAAGAATACAGTGTATAAATTCCACTTTTTCTGGGACTAAAAATAATGGACCCGAAGCGAAATTAATAATCCTAATCCTATAAAATAAATGTATTCTTTGTCCATTTCATACTCCGTGTGTGTGGTACGCATTGTAATCTTTTATTGTGTGTCATACCAATCCATCCTTATGCTAACTGTTACATGTTACTTTTAAATGTTTCATCATTATCATCAGTGGTGGATCTAAGAATGGACTAATAAATAATAAAGATGATTATAAAGATTTCAGTTTGCTTTACTTTAAGTCTTGGTTACAACTATTAAGAGATTTACATGATTTATAGCCAGTGTTTGCAGGCTGAGTGAAAATATTTCTTTTTGTCATAAATCAATGACATCAACAGATTTAAAATGGTCGGTTTTTAAACCAGATATCTTCTAGTTCATACCAATCATTATCAGTCGCCTGAAGACATATCCATGCGTGATGCCAATCAGAGGAGGCAATTATTCTTTTGATCTCTAAAACCAGTCCACTAGACGAACCCGCAAGTCTCATGAGTCTTCTAACACTTATGGTTGATGGTATATTTTTTAAAAGACTTGGTGAAATATATACTCTTGGGCCTGGTTTAGCATCAATGATTGAACGAAACAATCCATTAACGTTCCTGATACGAAACCTAGAATTGGGATCCATTTCCAAAACGAATTGAAATATTTTACTCCAAATTTCCCGAGGTAGGCACAATGACTTATCTCTTTCAGGACAATTGCAATAAGGAGGCGTGTTTTTTTGCAACTTCTTGACAGGACTGCTACAGTTGTTAAGCGTGTCCTCGTTTAGCTTGTCATTAGGATTAAAACAGGTGGGAGGTGTTTTGCCGCCAATATTGTCGACTAGACCGCTGCTGTTTAGAGGTAAGTCTTCTGCTAACACGTCGACAGGAATGTTACAGTTGGGATGCTTGTCTTCTTGCAACTCATCCACAGGACGGCTACAGTTGGTAGGTTTGCCTTCATCCAAATTGTCGACTTGAATACTAAAGGTTGGAGACATATCCTCGTCGAAGTCGTCGATAGATATGCTACAGTTAAAAGCCGTGTCTTCTTCCAACACGTCCACAGGAATTCTACAGTGTAATGGTGTGTCTTCTTGCAACCCATAAACAGGACTGTTACGGCTGGGAGGCGAATCTTCCTCCAAGTTGTTGACAGGTGAAAAGTCTCGAGACGTCTCATCAAAAGATTCAATATTTTGCAAAATATGACACTGTGTCATGATGTACCCTAATGCTTACGTAATGCTCCCCCTGTCCTTCGGGGAAATATCCCAGACAGAGCAATGTCAGGTTTGAATCATATTTTCCGTCATTGGATATTATTCTACAATGATTCAAACCATCTGATGAAACAATTAAGAACTGTAAATTGAGCTCTCGAGCCAATGCTTGCAAAGTTAGGTTATCTCCATACTCCCCATCGTTTGACATATTTCTAATATATTCTGAAAAGCTATGGCAAACATAAGATTTATAGAATTCTTCGTTTTTCTTTAAATGATTCACAGCCTTTTTTCTAATGATGGAAGCTGTGGTGTAAATGCCAGTCATGGATAACTGGTGAACAACTGCTTCAAATTGGCAGTTACCATCACCAGGAGGGTCAAACAAAACGTTGACAGATTTATTTTTAATCAAATCAAGAGCTTTCAGTCTGTCTCTATGTGACAAAGGAATGAGATATTTCTTCTTGTGTTTCTTGTTTCTTGTATTTATTTGCCTTAATGTTTCCTGTTGCAACGTCTCACTTGTGATATTCTCTACACCAATCCATTCTTTTTTAACGGAGTTACATTTTGGTTCACGAAACTTAACGAGATATTCATGAGTTTTAATTCTTCTGTCCAATATTCTACCAGGTAAAATATATCTGCGTCTTGGTATTCTGGATTTGAATGTGGGAAATCGGATCAGAACTTTCTCACCAACCTGATAAGTGGATGGTGTAGACTCCTTCAATCTGTATCGCTGCAATCTATTTGCACATCTCGCTGTGGATTTTCTCACACGTTGTTTCACGTGTGGTAGGTTGTGGGTAGGTTTGTGTTTTTCAGGTTGTCGTCCAAAGTAAACTTCAAATGGAGTCTGGTAACTCAGAACTTCCTTTGCAGTTGTATTAATTGAATGAACGACTTTTGGCAGATCTGATGCCCAGTTCAAACCCGTTTTTGAGACGCGCATAAAATTAAGCTTCTTTTTCAATGTTCTGTGAGATCTTTCACATTTACCCTGGGACTCTGGGTGGTACGGCCGACTTGTTACTTTCCTGACTCCTTTTCTTGATAACATTAACTCAAAACACCCTTTAAACTCTGTGCCATTATCACACTGAATTACCTTTGGCGTACCATATTCCATAAATATGTCTTGCATTGTTCTACTCACATGTTTGCTGGACTTGCTTTGCAAAGGACGGCATATCAAAAAGCGAGAAAAGACATCAATTACAGATAAAATGTATTGATAAATTTGCCCGCGGTATTGAACTGGTTCTGATCTCATACTTATAACATCAACTTGCCATCGTTCGCCAACATCTTTTGCAATTATTGACTTAAGAGGGGGCTTGTTGGTGAACCTAGCATATTGGAGGGCATATTCTTTGCTTTTAGCCAGTTCTTTTTTTATGCGCTTTTCACTTATTCCAGTGTATTTTTTTTGTATTCGGTAATTTAGTGCCCGTGCTCCACTTCCTTGAACATTACTAAATTTGTTCTTCACAATAGCTGACAAATCATCTTTTAATAGGACTCTCTTGTCTCTAAAGTATAGAGCGCCTTTTTTCACAGAGAAGTCGGATTTAGCACGATAGAATTGAAGTACTGCCCTTTTCTGTTCTTTAGACCGCTGTTTAACTGGCACATTAAAGGATCTGTTTATCAATGATAGTAATGTATCATATCTTTCTCTTGTAAATGGACGAATAGACCGAGTCTTTTTTGCTTGTGTCTTGTCCATATCATGTGTTTGAAGAGTTCTGTCAAATCAAACAAAAATCAAACACTGATAAATATTTAAAATTCTGATACAAACAAA